TTTTATGGGCTAGGAACTTACAGGCATACCTAGCCCGACTGGCTTGCAAAATTTGGAATTTATTTCACATACTGGTTGGTATGTGTGAGAATCAAGACGGTAGACACAAACATTGTATGGTCAACTTATATAAACATTGTTCTGTACTCACATTAAAGTAACCTTCTCTGTCTTTGAAGAGAAAACAAAGCCAAACTTTCTGCAGTAATGTTTGTATATTGAACCAAAGATGATTGTAGGCGCATTGTTACTAAAAGACCAGAGCATTGTGGGAAGGGTGAGTACAGGCTACACTACATATACATGGTACATGGTACACATGCTGTAATGTCGTTAACTAAACTCAGTCAGTCATGGTGTAATGTCGTAAACACACATGGTATAATCTCTGTATTGTTATACAGACACATGGTATAATCTATGTATTGTTGTACAGACACATGGTATAATCTATGTATTGTTGTACAGACACATGGTATAATCTATGTATTGTTATACAGACACATGGTATAATCTATGTATTGTTGTACAGACACATGGTATAATCTATGTATTGTTGTGCAGACACATGGTATAATCTATGTATTGTTATACAGACACATGGTATAATCTCTGTATTGTTGTACAGACACATGGTATAATCTATGTATTGGTATAATCTATGTATTGTTATACAGACACATGGTATAATCTCTGTATTGTTGTACAGACACATGGTATAATCTCTGTATTGTCATACAGACACATGGTATAATCTATGTATTGTTGTACAGACACATGGTATAATTTCTGTATTGTTGTACAGACACATGGTATAATCTATGTATTGTTATACAGACACATGGTATAATTTCTGTATTGTTGTACAGACACATGGTATAATTTCTGTATTGTTGTACAGACACATGGTATAATCTCTGTATTGTCATACAGACACATGGTATAATTTCTGTATTGTACAGACACATGGTATAACCTCTGTATTGTTGTACAGACACATGGTATAATCTATGTATTGTTGTACAGACACATGGTATAATTTCTGTATTGTTGTACAGACACATGGTATAACCTCTGTATTGTTGTACAGACACATGGTATAATCTCTGTATTGTTGTACAGACACATGGTATAATCTCTGTATTGTTGTGACACATGGTATAACACATGTATTGTTATACAGACACATGGTATAATCTCTGTATTGTTGTACAGACACATGGTATAATCTCTGTATTGTTGTACAGACACATGGTATAATCTCTGTATTGTTGTACAGACACATGGTATAATCTCTGTATTGTTGTACAGACACATGGTATAATCTCTGTATTGTTATACAGACACAGGTTACTCATTCTGTCATGATATATAGTTGCATGCTATAATCTCCATAATGGCATAAGACATGTGATACAATATTTGTAAGGATGTTAAGACACATAGGAAAAATCCTGTAATGATAGAAAGGCAAACAGCATATCTCCCACCGATATTAACACACATGGTACAATATTTGTAGTGGTATAAAGAGATAGGGAAACAATCTGCAATGATATAAAGGCACATGGTACAATCTCTGCAAATATATAAGGACACATTGTACAAGTTCTGTAACAAAATAACATTGAGTACATAAAGACACATGAGTTTTGAGAAAAGGTCAGATTCAGATGTGGCAAGTTCGACACAGTTGGTAGAACTACCCTCATGCTGAACACAGCTAATATGATAGATGCACAATCATGTTGGCTGTTTGGCTGTATAGTGTTGTGTGCTGTCCGACAATCATGTAGGCTGTTTGGCTGTATAGTGTTGTGTGCTGTCCGACAATAACATGTGTTCTACAGCAAGTTCGACACAGTTGGTAGAACTACCCTCATGCTGAACACAGCTAATATGATAGATGCACAATCATGTTGGCTGTTTGGCTGTATAGTGTTGTGTGCTGTCCGACAATAACATGTGTTCTACAGAGCCACCAGGGCGGTCAGCGCTACCGTGGGTCACCCTCCTGCAGGACATGGATTATAGTAAAGCTTGTATATACAAATGTTTAATACAGGCAATGGTTTTTCGTTACTTCATTGTTTACATTAATGAAACAAGTTTTTGTAAACCCGGATAATGACTACAATGATTATCGATTACCTGCAGTCTAAAATCAGGAGGCAACAGACTTATTAGTAAGAAACATTCATTTTCTCCAGTATTTAAATCACAAAACCTAACTGATTCTGTGTTTCTATTAAAGGGGCACTGATCCAGAGCGAATTATGTTTCTCACCAACAGTCTAATTATGAAACCTAGCTGCAAGCAGGTCAGCCCCTGCTCCCTCGACCGTGACGGACACGGGGACTGGGCTACTGTCCATCTTGGTAGAATTTCTTCAACCTAAACATTGGGACATTAGGAAGGATGGATGCCCATCAGATGTCATTATTTGACAATATCCCGGTAGTTCTTGTCTGATTGTCATAAAGTATCCCAGCAGTGTAGGCTTTTTCGGACTTTCTAATGCCTGGATGGTATAGTGACTGATCCAATTTGATCTAATTTCTGTGTTTTTTACCTTGATATTTAATCATGTCATGTAAATGTATGATGTCTATTACCTATGATATTAAAAACACACATTTGATTTATTTGAATCCGTAAACTAAACAACCCAAATAATCTGAATATTTACTTAGGTAAATAGGTATACACAGTTTATAATTTAAGTACACAGCGAATGCTTATATGTATTTCTTATGCAACAAAAAACAGTGTCTGCCCATTTCAGGCAATTAAAACTGCATGCAATACAGCGATTACGAACCAGCAATTACTACTCCATTACTGTAAGTCGTGTTTGGTGGTATAAACCTACACATGTTATTTGTCATCATTCACTGGATGGTCAGTTAATGAATTTATAACAGGCATAATTAGTGGTCACACCACTCACATTACCCGACAAAGGTTCCCATTTGGCATTTCTTGTGTCTGGAGTAAATACACAACATTATTAATTAAGGCCTGATGTGGCAAATGTCTTACATGTTATGTAATATGCGCATGGAAGTGCAGCAAGAGGAATTATTAGCTGAGTTACAAAAACAAACATCGATCAAAGGATTAACCGATAACACGCTGATTGATTAATTGCGTTTATCTTGCACACGGATTTGTCAAAAGGAAGTGTTTATGGATGTAGATTAACTAATCTATGCTGAATACACCCTGTCGTAAAGTGCCCGTGTAAAAACAATGTCCTTCCTTCAAAGGATTAACCGTCAATACTTTGATTGATTGCTCATTATTGGCTAACTCAACTCTTGCTTTAAACAATGGCGGACATCATGCAATTAGTTGCCAGGTGTGCTATCTTGAGTGACCAATGAGACTACACCGATGTGAAAAACTGAAACGATATATCACTGTTTTGCTTATTAGACTGTTAAAAGACACATGACATGGAACAAGATTAGAATATTTGTCAGCTGCAGATGAATGGCATATCGTTTCTTTATGTGGATATTAATGGACACATTCCTCGAAACAAGGTAATAGCCTGACATTCTTGCTATAACTTTAGTCTGTTTTAGTTTTAATGTTTGCATTGTGTTTTTATTCATTTGTCGTAGCATTCAACAGAATCATTGTTTTCGCAGTGATGTGTAATGAGACAGACAACATACACTAGGTCGCACTTAGGGCGTGTGTGTGAAATATGATTCACGTAGGCTATCTATAAAATGTCATGCAAAACAAAATGTAAGATATTACAGTCATGTTATAAATTCACTATAAGTACAAGCAGATCATTAAGTTTCAAAATGCATGCAAATATGATAATAAGCTACATGTAATTAGGATTATAAGACAAAATATAAAGACGTACATTAGCTTTGCTATTCTTAAGTCTTAACATTTTTCGCCCTGGCAAATGGTTAAACTTCAAAATGTTTTCATTTGTTATCATAATAATAAAGATGGAAATATTATCGAGTAAAAATCATTTCATCTTTTTTTCATCAATCTATACTTTAACTATCAATTGCGCATGCGGGTGGCGCAGCAGAGGTCACGAACCAGTCAAGAATTCTGGGATATCATCCAGGTACTCACGGGAGAAAAACAATAACAAAAGCAACAACCAGTCCACGGAAATTGCTCTGGATCAGTGCCCCTTTAATATCCCCCAAATATCTTACATCGTGATATAGAGATGATCAACATCTGAATCTCGTCTGCACATTTTGGAAGGATTTTAGTGTTACATTCAGTAAGTATATTACTCTACACATTAGTGGTGTTCCGATGATCGAAAATCGATCGAAAGAACGATTAAAAATGATTATCGATTGTAAAAAAAATCATATTTTCGATTAATTGGAATTGTGTTGTTTTAGTTTAACACACTTGAATGAACTAAACTAGCGGTTAAATTTGACGAATATCCATGTACAAACATGCGCTTAACAGTGTAAAGCGTTGCGCGTTGTAAAATTTAACTACTTTTATTGTTTAATTACAATTCCAGTGTCTTTCTTTCTTGCATGCATGCATTTCATTGCATGACAGTATTAGTTATAAGAAACATTTTTTTAAAAACCCTGGGGAAAACCCTTCAAATTGGTGATTTCATTAAAAATGTATATATTTCGATTATAATCAATAATCGTTCACCTCAATCCTCCGATAATCGATAGTGGATTTGGTTTCCGATTCCCAACACTACTACACATGCTAAACATCACACAGCAACTTTACATCTACATAGGGGGTGGTCTGGACCAGACAATCCTGTGATTGACATCATGAGCATCGATCCACACAATTGTGATCTGATGACATGCATCAACTGGGTCAGCCAAGACAAACATGGGTTGTTGAATTCTAGCCATTTTAGCAGGGGAGTTAGTAGCAATCAAACATCAGTGAGCAGGATTCAGTATTTTTTTTTATAATTTTATTGTTTTTAAAGATGTTTACAGTATTGTTTTCAGTATTGTTTCTCTTCCAGTTTGCCTCGGTACTTCACTTCTACTGCCTGTAGTTGCCATGAAGTAATGTGTGTCCGATGGCGTCTGCTTGGGTACAGCAGCACTTACATGAGTCACTTACACAAGTATTCCTTTTGATTGTATCATGGAGCAATCTTAGCACTAAGACATGTGTCTATGTGAAAGAGTGGGAGCCACAATTATCACAGCATTAAGATTGTCTTAATGTTGCTGTTGAGATGTCAGTGGACATTGTCCACAGAACTTACACGCTACCTACACCTCAGGCAGCCAGTGGTGGACAAGTGCATATGTCACTGTAGTATCTGACACTAGGGGCGGATCCAGAGAGAGTGTGTGTGTGTGTGTGTGTATTGTGTGTGTTGGTGTGTGTGTGTTTGTGTGTGTTGTGTTTTGTGTGTGCGTGTGCGCGTGTGTGTGTGTGTGTGTGTGTGTGTGTGTGTGTGTTGTTGTTGTTGTTTTTGTTTTTGTTTATTTTCCCTCCTAACATTTGGACTTCAGGATATATGTCCCTTCTCCAAACTCCTGGATCCACCCCTGGACACATAGCACATAAACAGACCTGTCTAGGATACAGGGTCATCAGATGTATCTCATAATAGTCACCTATTTTGATTGGAAGACAAATACAAAAACAAACAATCTGAACAGAAGCTGCGATAACTTTCACTCAATCATCTGTGACTGAAACAGTGTTGAATGTAACTGTCATACATCAGTGAGCGTGGATGTCCCCAAGCCCAAGCGACTTCACCGCATCTTCCCGCATCTTGTACTTCCGCACCTTCCCCGTTACAGTCAGAGGGTACTCCGTCACAAACTGGACATAGCGAGGAACCTTGAAGCGAGCCAGCTGGAGGAAACACAGGACATCCTTTACACATGGCATAAACTGACAACATAATGATATGGTGCTGGTATATGGTGCACCTTAGCTGGAAGCTTGGTAGTAGGTGAGTAGTATGTCGTGAGTATTGCCAATATCTACTGGTATATTACATGGTAGTAGGTGAGTAGTATGTCGTGAGTATTGCCAATATCTACTGGTATATTACATGGTAGTAGGTGAGTAGTATGCCGTGAGTATTGCCAATATCTACTGGTATATTACATGGTAGTAGGTGAGTAGTATGTTGTGAATATTGCCAATATCTACTGGTATATTACATGGTAGTAGGTGAGTAGTATGCCGTGAGTATTGCCAATATCTACTGGTATATTACATGGTAGTAGGTGAGTAGTATGTTGTGAATATTGCCAATATCTACTGGTATATTACATGGTGTGGTGAGTATGCCGTGGTGCCAATATCTAGTATATTACATGTAGTAGGTGAGTAGTATTGAGTATTGCCAATATCTACTGGTATATTACATGGTAGTAGGTGAGTAGTATGTAGTATGTGAGTATTGCCAATATCTACTGGTATATTACATGGTAGTAGGTGAGTAGTATGTGAGTAGTATGTGAGTATTGCCAATATCTACTGGTATATTACATGGTAGTAGGTGAGTAGTATGTCGTGAGTATTGCCAATATCTACTGGTATATTACATGGTAGTAGGTGAGTAGTATGTCGTGAGTATTGCCAATATCTACTGGTATATTACATGGTAGTAGGTGAGTAGTATGTCGTGAATATTGCCAATATCTACTGGTATATTACATGGTAGTAGGTGAGTAGTATGTCGTGAGTATTGCCAATATCTACTGGTATATTACATGGTAGTAGGTGAGTAGTATGTCGTGAATGTGAATATTGCCAATATCTACTGGTATATTACATGGTAGTAGGTGAGTAGTATGTGTGTATGCATGGTAGTAGGTGAGTAGTATGCCGTGAGTATTGCCAATATCTACTGGTATATTACATGGTAGTAGGTGAGTAGTATGTACTGGTATATTACGTGAGTATTGCCAATATCTACTGGTATATTACATGGTAGTAGGTGAGTAGTATGTACTGGTGTAGTGTGCCAATATCTACTGGTATATTACATGGTAGTAGGTGAGTGGTATGTCGTGAGTATTGCCAATATCTACTGGTATATTACATGGTAGTAGGTGAGAGTGGTATGCCGTGACTGGTATTGCCAATATCTACTGGTATATTACATGGTAGTAGGTGAGTGCCAATATCTAGTATGTAGGTGTGTGTAGTATTGCCAATATCTACTGGTATATTACATGGTAGTAGGTGAGTAGTATGTCGTGAGTATTGCCAATATCTACTGGTATATTACATGGTAGTAGGTGAGTAGTATGTCGTGAGTATTGCCAATATCTACTGGTATATTACATGGTAGTAGGTGAGTAGTATGTCGTGAGTATTGCCAATATCTACTTGCTGAATGAAGACCACATATTCTTCCATATCCTGACATCTCCACAACAACATTTATGATCAGTCTTGGAGTCAAAGTGTCAGTTCTTTTATTAAAGCAAGCAGGTAACTTGCATTCCTATTGGATGCAACACTTTAAGCATGGGCGATATACAGTAGCGATATACAGTAGCGATATACAGAAGGGGTATACAGAAGGGGTATACAGAAGGGGTGTACAGAAGGGGTGTACAGATCACGATATACAAAAGGGATATACAGTAGTGATATACAGAAGGGATATATAAAGCAATATACAGAAGGGGTATACAGATCAATATACAGAAGGGATATACAGATAGTGTTATACAGAAGTTGTATACAGAAGGGGTATACAGAAGGGATGTATAGAAGCACGATATACATAAAAGGGGTATACAGATCACGATATACAGAAGGGGTATACAGAAGGGGTATACAGAAGGGATGTATAAAACAATATACAGAAGGGGTATACAGATCAAGTGATATACAGTAAGGGGTATACAGATGTATATACAGATGCAATATACAGAAGGGGTATACAGAAGGGATGTATAAAAGCAATATACAGAAAGGGGTATACAGATGCAATATACAGAAGGGGGTATACAGAAGGGATGTACAGAAGGGGTATACAGATCACAATATACAGAAGGGGTATACAGAAGGGATATAAAGCAATATACAGAAGGGGTATACAGAAGCAATATACAGAAGGGGTATACAGAAGGGATGTATAAAGCAATATACAGAAGGGGTATACAGAAGGGATGTATAAAGCAATATACAGAAGGGGTATACAGAAGGGATGTATAAAGCAATATACAGAAGGGGTATACAGAAGGGATGTATAAAGCAATATACAGAAGGGGTATACAGATGCAATATACAGAAGGGGTACACAGATCACGATATACAGATGCAATATACAGAAGGGGGTATACAGAAGGGATGTATAAAGCAATATACAGAAGGGGTATACAGATGCAATATACAAGGGGTATACAGAAGGGATGTACAGAAGGGGGTATACAGATCACGATATACAGAAGGGGTATACAGAAGGGATGTATAAAGCAATATACAGAAGGGTATACAGAAGGGTATACAAGATGCAATATACAGAAGGGGGTATACAGAAGGGATGTATAAAGCAATATACAGAAGGGGGTATACAGATCACGATATACAGAAGGTGTGTACAGATCACGATATACAGATGCAATATACAGAAGGGGTATACAGAAAGGATGTATAAAAGCAATATACAGAAGGGGTATACATGCAATATACAGAAGGTGTGTACAGATCACGATATACAGATGCAATATACAGAAAGGGGTATACAGAAGGGATGTATAAAGCAATATACAGAAGGGGTATACAGATGCAATATACAGAAGGGGTATACAGAAGGGGTATACAGAATGGATATATAAAAGCAATATACAAAAGGGGTATACAGATGCAATATACAGAAGGGGTATACAGAAGGGGTATACAGAAGGGATGTATAAAAGCAATATACAGAAGGGGGTATACAGGGGTATACAGATCACGATATACAGTAGCTTGATATACAGAAGGGGTATACAGAAGGGATGTATAAAAGCAATATACAGAAGGGTGTATACAGAAGGGATGTACAGAAGGGGTATACAGATCACAGATATACAGATACAATATACAGAAGGGGGGTATACAGAAGGGATGTATAAAACAATATACAGAAGGGGGTATACAGAAGGGATGTACAGAAGGGGTATACAGATCACGATATACAGATGCAATATACAGAAGGGGTATACAGATGCAATATACAGAAGGGGTATACAGAAGGGATGTATAAAAGCAATATACAGAAGGGGTATACAGATGCAATATACAGAAGGGGTATACAGAAGGGATGTATAAAAGCAATATCAGAAGGGGTATACAGAAGGGATGTACAGAAGGGGTATACAGATCACGATATACAGATGCAATATACAGAAGGGGTATACAGAAGAGATGTATAAAGCAATATACAGAAGGGGGTATACAGAAGGGATGTACAGAAGGGGTATACAGATGCGATATACAGAAGATGCAATATACAGAAGGGGTATACAGAAGGGATGTATAAAGCAATATACAGAAGGGGTATACAGAAGGGGTATACAGAGCAGGATATACAGAAGCAATATACAGAAGGGGTATACAGATGCAATATACAGAAGGGGTATACAGAAGGGATGTATAAAGCAATATACAGAAGGGGTATACAGAAGGGATGTACAGAAGGGGTATACAGATCACGATATACAGAAGCAATATACAGAAGGGGTATACAGATGCAATATACAGAAGGGGGTATACAGAAGGGATGTATAAAGCAATATACAGGAAGGGGTATACAGAAGGGATGTACATAAGGGGGTATACAGAAGGGGGTATAAAGATGCAATATACAGAAGGGGTATACAGAAGGGATGTATAAAGCAATATACAGAAGGGGTATACAGATGCAATATACAGAAGGTGTGTACAGATGCGATATACAGTAGCGATATACAGAAGGGGGTATACAGAAGGGATGTACAGAAAGCGATATACAAAGGGATATACAGAAGCGATATACAGAAGGGATATACAGAAAGCGATATACAGAAGGGATGTACAGAAGGGGTGTACAGAAAGGGATGTACAAGCGATATACAGAAGGGATGTATACAAAGCGATATACAGAAGGGATATACAGAAGCTGTGATATATAGAAGGGATGTACAGAAGGGGTGTACAGAAGGGGTGTACAGATGTGATATACAAAAGGGATATAGAGAAGCGATATACAGAAGGGATATACAGAAAGAAGGGATGTACAGAAGGGGGTGTACAGAAGGGATGTACACAAACTGATATACAGAAAGGGGTATACAGAAGGGGTGTACAGATCACGATATACAAAAGGGATATACAGAAGCGATGTACAGAGAGGGATATCTAGAAAGGGATGTACAGAAGGGATGTACAGGAAGCTTGATATACAGAAGGGATTTACAGAGCGATATACAGAAGGGGTATACAGAGCTGATATACAGAAGGGGTATACAGAAGCGATATACAGAAGGGATATACAAGCGATATACAGAAGGGATATACAGAAGCGATATATACAGAAGGGGTATACAGAAAGCGATATACAGAAGCGATATACAGAAGGGATATACAGAAGCGATATACAGAAGGATATATAGAAGGCGATATACAGAAGGGGTATACAGAAGCGATATACAGAAGCGATATACAGAAGCGATATACAGAAGGGATATACAGAAGGGTGTACAGAAGGGGTGTACAGATGCGATATACAAAAGGGATATACAGAAGCGATATACAGAAGGGATATACAGAAGCGATATACAGAAGGGATGTACAGAAGGGGTGTACAGAAGGGATGTACAGAAGCGATATACAGAAGGGATATACAGAAGGGGTGTACAGAAGGGGTGTACAGATCACGATATACAAAAAGGGATATACAGAAGCGATATACAGAAGGGATATACAGAAGGGATGTACAGAAGGGGTATACAGAAGGGATATACAGAAGGGATATACAGAAGGGGTGTACAGATAGCGATATACAGAAGGGATATACAGAAGTGATATACAGAAGGGATGTACAGAAGGGGTGTACAGAAGGGGTGTACAGAAGCGATATACAAAAGGGATATACAGAAGGGGTATACAGAAGGGGTATACAGAAGGGGTGTACAGAAGGGATATACAGAAGGGATATACAGAAGCGGTGTACAGATAGCGATATACAGAAGGGGTGTACAGATGCGATATACAAAAGGGATATACAGAAGCGATATACAGAAGGGATATACAGAAGGGATGTATAAAGCGATATACAGAAGGGGTATACAGATGCAATATACAGAAGGGGTATACAGAAGGGGTATACAAAAGGGATATACAGAAGAGGTATACAGAAGGGGTATACAGAAGCAATATACAGAAGGGGTGTACAGAAGCGATATACAGAAGGGATATACAGAAGGGATATACAGAAGTGATATCCAGAAGTGATATACAGAAAGGGTATACAGAAACGTTCTACAGAAGCAATATACAGAAGCGATATACACAAGGGGTGAGACAGACAACAAGCTATGGGTGGTAAGAACACCTACCCTCTCCTTGCAGTAGGCCTTTATCTCTACGTCTGTCACAGTCTGTCCATCCTTCAGCTGAACCCAAGCACACACCTCCTCCCCCAGACGCTCGTCTGGCACACCAATGACCTGCACAAACATGTTGAAGTGCAGATAACACAATGTTGCAGTGGGATAACACAATACTGAAGTGCAGATAACACAATGTTGCAGTGGGATAACACAATATTGAAGTGCAGATAACACAATGTTGCAGTGGGATAACACAATATTGAAGTGCAGACAACACAATGTTGCAGTGCGATAACACAATATTGAAGTGCAGACAACACAATGTTGCAGTGGGATAACACAATATTGAAGTGCAGATAACACATTGTTGCAGTGGGATAACACAATATTGAAGTGCAGACAACACATTGTTGCAGTGGGATAACACAATATTGAAGTGCAGACAACACATTGTTGTTGCAGTGGGATAACACAATATTGAAGTGCAGATAACACAATGTTGCAGTGGGATAACACATATTGAGATTGCCAGACAACACAATGTTGCAGTGGGATAACACAATACTGAAGTGCAGATAACACAATGTTGCAGTGGGATAACACAATGTTGCAGTGGGATAACACAATATTGAAGTGCAGATAACACAATGTTGCAGTGGGATAACACAATATTGAAGTGCAGACAACACAATGTTGCAGTGGGATAACACAATATTGAAGTGCAGACAACACAATGTTGCAGTGGGATAACACAATATTGAAGTGCAGACAACACAATGTTGCAGTGCGATAACACAATATTGAAGTGCAGACAACACAATGTTGCAGTGCGATAACACAATATTGAAGTGCAGATAACACAATGTTGCCGTGGGACAATTAGCAGTAGAATAACACAACATTGCAGTGCAGATAACACAATGTACAGGTGTCAATAACCCAATGTAATAATGGGTCAATGTAATATTGTATATAACAAAATGTAGCAGTACCAGAATGGCATTCACCCACCAAGTGTTGATACCCAACTAGCTCTCTATCTAACCCAGGCTGATATCTACCTACCTGCACGTCCTTGACCTTGGGGTGCTTGTAGAGCAGCTCCTCAATCTCTGTTGGGTAGATGTTTTCCCCACCCCGGATGATCATGTCCTTGGTCCGACCAACGATTTTACAATAGCCGTCTTCATCTATAGTGGCAATGTCCCTGCACAAAAACATTCAGTGCGTCACATACCGTGGCCAACCACTGACCCAGACATCACCACACACACCCAGACATCACCACACAGACCCCAACTTCCCCAAACACAGACCCACATAACTTCCCCAAACAGACCCTGTCTTCTCCACACAGACCCTGACTTCCCCAAACAGACCCTGACTTCCTTACACAGACCCTGTCTTCCCCACACAGACCCTGTCTTCTCCATACAGACCCTGACTTCCTTACACAGACCCTGTCTTCCCCACACAGACCCTGTCTTCCCCACACAGACCCTGTCTTCCCCACACAGACCCCGACTTCCCCCACACAGTCTTCCCCCCCGACTTCCCCACACAGACCCTGTCTTCCCCACACAGACCCCGACTTCCCCATGACTTCCCCAAACAGAATCGACTTCCCCACACAGACCCCGACTTCCCCACACAGACCCTGTCTTCTCCATACAGACCCTGACTTCCCCACACAGACCCCAACTTCCCCAAACAGAATCAGACTCCCCACATAGACCCAGACTTCCCCAAACAGAATCAGACCCCCAGACTTCCCCACACAGAACCAGACTTCCCCTAGACCCAGACTTCCCCAAACAGAATCTCCCCCCACATAGACCCGACTTTCCCACACAGACCCTGACTTCCCCACACAGACCCGACTTCCCCATAGACCCAGACCCCAAACAGAATCAGACTTCCCACATCCCCAGATACAGACCCTGACTTCCTTACACAGACCCTGTCTTCCCCACACAGACCCGACTTCCCTACACAGACCCCCGACTTCCCCACACAGACCCCGTCTTCCCCTCACAGACCCTGACTTCCCCGCACAGACCATGAATTTTGCAGTAATTATTATTACCCTGTGAAGAACCATCGGTCTGGCTTGATGGCCTCAGCTGTCTTGTCAGGATCATTCCAGTAGCCCAGCATTGTTGTGTATCCGCGCGTACACAGCTCGCCTGGAGTACCAACAGGTACCACCTCCCCCGCCTCATCCACAACCTTGGCCTGTGACACACATAGAAATACAGGGGCACTTGCTGTGACACACATAGAAATAGAGAGGCACATTCTGTGACATACATAGAACTATAGGGGCACTTTCTGTGACACACATAGAACTGTAGGGGCACTTGCTGTGACACACATAGAAATATAGGGGCACTTGCTGTGACACACATAGAACTATAGGGGCACTTGCTGTGACACACATAGAAATAGAGAGGCACATTCTGTGACATACATAGAACTATAGGGGCACTTGCTGTGACACACATAGAACTATAGGGGCACTTCTGTGACATACATAGAACTATAGGGGCACTTGCTGTGACACATAGAAATATAGGGGCACTTTCTGTGACATACATAGAACTATAGGGGCACTTGCTGTGACACACATAGAACTGTAGGGGCACTTGCTGTGACACACATAGATATATTGGGGCACTTTCTGTGACGCACATAGAACTATAGGGGCACTTTCTGTGACACATAGAACTATAGGGGCACTTGCTGTGACACACATAGAAATATAGGGGCACTTGCTGTGACACACATAGAACTATAGGGGCACTTGCTGACACACATAGAACTATAGGGGCACTTGCTGTGACACACATAGAACTATAGGGGCACTTGCTGTGACACACATAGAACTATAGGGGCACTTGCTGTGACACACATAGAACTATAGGGGCACTTTCTGTGACATACATAGAACTATAGGGGCACTTGCTGTGACACACATAGAACTATAGGGGCACTTGCTGTGACACACATAGAAATATTGGGGCACTTTCTGTGACACACATAGAGCTATAGGGGCACTTTCTGTGAGAAACATAGAACTATAGGGGCACTTGCTGTGACACACATAGAGCTACAGGGGCACTTGCTGTGACACACATATAAATATAGGGGCACTTTCTGTGACACACATAGAGCTATAGGGGTACTTGCTGTGACACACCTAGAACTATAGGGGCACTTGCTTTGACACACATAGAACTATAGGAGCACTTTATGTGACACACATAGAGCTATAGGGGCACTTGCTGTGACACACATAGAAATATAGGGGCACTTGCTGTGACACACAGAAATAGAGAGGCACATTCTGTGACATACATAGAACTATAGGAGCACTTGCCGTGACACACATAGAACTACATGGGGCACTTGCTGTGACACACATAGAACTATAAGGGTACTTGCTGTGACACACATAGAACTATAGGGGCACTTCCTGTGACACACATAGAACTATAGGGGCACTTGCTGTGACACACATAGAACTATAGGGGCACTTGCTGTGACACACATAGAACTATAGGGATACTAAAGGGGCACTAACTGTGACTACGAAACTTGCACATATTTACATCTCACAAAGTACTATAATTGTGTTTCCTCTACACCTACTATACTACTATAGCTGGACATACTTGAATCTGAATGTACTGAAGGGGCACCTGCTTACATCTGTAACTATAGTGGGAGTACTAAAGGGCACCTGCTTACATCTTTAACTATAGTGGGAGTACTGAAGGGGCACCTGCTTACATCTGTAACTATAGTGGGTGTACTGAAGGGGCACCACTTACATCTGTAACTAACACAGAGTATGAAGGGGCACCTCCTGTGACACTGTAACTATAGTGGGAACTAGGGGCACCTGGCACATCTGTAACTATAGTGTGAGTACTAAAGGGGCACCTGCTTACATCTATAACTATAGTGGGATATTACTAAAGGGGCACCTGCTTACATCTGTAACTATAGAACTAAGGGGCAAATGCTTTCATCTGTATCTACAGGGAGGAGTACTAAAGGGGCACCTGCTTGACATCTGTAACTATAGTGTGAGTACTGAAGGGGCACTTGCACATCTGTGACTATAGTGGGAGTACTATAGGGGCACCTGCTTGCTGTGACACTATAGTAGAATTACTAAAGGGGCACCTGCTTACATCTTTAACTTTAGTAGTACTATAGGGGCACTGCTTACATCTGTAACTATAGTAGAGAGAACTATAGGGGCACCTGCTTACATCTGTAACTATAGTGGGAGTACTAAAGGGGCACCTGCTTACATCTGTAACTATAGTGGAGTACTAAAGGGGCACCTTACATCTGTAACACACAGGAGAACTAAAGGGGCACCTGCTTACATCTATAACTATAGTGGGAATTACTGAAGGGGCACCTGCTTACATCTGTAACATAATAGGAGGAACTATTAAAGGGGCACCTGCTGTGACATCTGTAACTATAGGGGCACTGAAGGGGCACCTGCTTACATCTGTTACTAAAGAGTACTATAGGGGCACCTGCTTACATCTGTAACTATATTAGAACTAAGGGGCACCTGCTTACATCTGTAACTGTAGTAGGACTATAAAGGGGGCAAATGTTTACATCTTTAACTATAGTGGGAGTACTAAAGGGGCACCTGCTTACATCTGTAACTATAGTAGGAGTACTAAAGGGGCACCTGCTTACATCTGTAACTATAGTGGGAGTACTAACAGGGCAAATGCTTTCATCTGTATCTATAAGGAGGAGTACTATAAGGGGCACCTGCTTACATCTGTAACTATAGTGTGAGTACTGAAGGGGCACCTGCTTACATCTGTAACTATAGTGGGAGTACTGAAGGGGCACCTGCTTACATCTTTAATTATAGTAGGAGTACAGGAAGGCACCTGCTTACATCTTTAACTATAGTGGGAGTACTGACAGGGCACCTACTTACATCTGTAACTATAGTGAGAGTACTGAAGGGGCACCTACTTACATCTGTAACTATAGTGGGAGTACTGAAGGGGCACCTGCTTACATCTGTAACTATAGTGGGAGTACTGAAGGGGCACCTGCTTACATCTGTAACTATAGTGGGAGTACTGAAGGGGCACCTGCTTACATCTGTAACTATAAGGAGGAGTACTAAAGGGGCACCTGCTTACATCTGTAACTATAAGGAGGAGTACTTAAGGGGCACCTGCTTACATCTGTAACTATAGATAGGAGTACTAAAGGGGCACCTGCTTACATCTGTAACTATAAGTGGGAGTATTAAAAGGGGCACCTGCTTACATCTGTAACTATAGTGGGAGTACTGAAGGGCACCTGCTTACATCTGTTACTATAGTGGGAGTACTAATGGGGCACCTGCTTACATCTGTAACTATAGTGGGAGTACTAATGGGGCACCTGCTTACATCTGTAACTATAAGGAGGAGTACTAACAGGGGCACCTGCTTACATCTGTAACTATAGTGGGAGTACTGAAGGGGCACCTGCTTACATCTGTAACTATAGTGGGAGTACTGAAGGGGCACCTGCTTACATCTGTAACTATAGGAGGAGTACTAATGGGGCACCTGCTTACATCTGTAACTATAAGGAGGAGTACTAGCAGGGGCACCTGCTTACATCTGTAACTATAGTGGGAGGGGGCACCTGCTTACATCTGTAACTATAGTAGGAGTATTAAAGGGGCACCTGCTTACATCTGTAACTATAGGAGGAGTACTTAAGGGGCACCTGCTTACATCTGTAACTATAAGGAGGAGTACTTAAGGGGCACCTGCTTACATCTGTAACTATAAGGAGGAGTACTAAAGGGGCACCTGCTTACATCTGTAACTATAGGGAGGAGTACTGAAGGGGCACCTGCTTACATCTGTAACTATAGTGGGAGTACTAAAGGGGCACCTGCTTACATCTGTAACTATAGGAGGAGTACTGAAGGGGCACCTGCTTACATCTGTAACTATAAGGAGGAGTACTAATGGGGCACCTGCTTACATCTGTAACTATAGGAGGAGTACTATAAGGGGCACCTGCTTACATCTGTAACTATAGTGGGAGTACTAATGAGGACCTGCTTACATCTGTAAAGGAGTACTAATGGGGCACCTGCTTACATCTGTAACTATAGTGAGGAGTACTTAAGGGGGCACCTGCTTACATCTGTAAGCTATAAGGAGGAGTACTAATGGGGCACCTGCTTACATCATCTGGAGTACTGGGGCATACATCTGTAACTATAGTGGGAGTACTAAAGGGGCACCTGCTTACATCTGTAACTATAAGGAGGAGTACTGAAGGGGCAAATGCTTACATCTGTAACTATAAGGAGGAGTACTTAAGGGGCACCTGCTTACATCTGTAACTATAAGGAGGAGTACTTAAGGGGCACCTGCTTACATCTGTAACTATAAGGAGGAGTACTAGAAGGGGCAAATGCTTTCATCTGTAACTATAGGGAGGAGTACTTAAGGGGCACCTGCTTACATCTGTAACTATAAGGAGGAGTACTTAAGGGGCACCTGCTTACATCTGTAACTATAAGGAGGAGTACTTAAGGGGCACCTGCTTACATCTGTAACTATAAGGAGGAGTACTTAAGGGGCACCTGCTTACATCTGTAACTATAGATAGGAGTAGGGGGGCACCTGCTTACATCTGTAACTATAAGGAGGAGTGGAGGGGCAAATGCTCATATATAAGGAGGAGTACTAAGGGGCACCTGCTTACATCTGTAACTATAAGGGAGTATTAGAAATGCTTTCATCTGTAACTATAAGGAGGAGTACTTAAGGGGCACCTGCTTACATCTGTAACTATAAGGAGGAGTACTAAAGGGGCACCTGCTTACATCTGTAACTATAAGGAGGAGTACTTAAGGGGCACCTGCTTACATCTGTAACTATAAGGAGGAGTACTTAAGGGGCACCTGCTTACATCTGGAACTATAAGGAGGAGTACTAACGGGGCACCTGCTTACATCTGGAACTACTCATGTATTGTTGAAAGCATTGTGAAATATCAGCAGTTCTGTAGCCTCGCTCAAGTACAAGTACGAAGCTTGCAATTACGATCACACTGAAATATAATACAATAGCAGGTTAATTATGTGGATCATCCATCACATTTCCTAAAGTTAGCATTATAATGTGTAAAAGTTCCTGGGAAAACAAGTTCCTACCTCTGTGTGTGCCCCACACTGGCCCACTGTGCTAACTCTCTTCTGAGTGGGGCTGTCTCGATAACTCTGCATTGTCACCGGACTCGTCTCGGTCAGTCCATAGCACACCTGCACAGACACACCACGGCTTCAGTCACAATGGCTGCAGTAGTATTTACAATGCTTGCACCATCTACAGGCCCCATCAGTAAAGTAATTAAAGGGGCACTGATCCAAAGAAATTTCCGTGGACTGGTTGTTGCTTTAATTATTGTGTTTCTTCCTTGAGTACCCGGATGATATCCCAGAATTCTTGACTGGGATTCTGACTGATTCGTGACCTCTGCTGCGCCACCCGCATGCGCAGTTGATAGTATAAGTATATAGACTGATCAACAAAGAGAGAAATCTTTTTACTCAATAATATTTCCATCTTCCTTATTTAGATAACAAATGAAAATATTTTGAAGTTTATCCATCTGCCAGCGGTAAAAAATGTTAGGACTGAAAAATAACAAAGTCAATGTACGCCTTATATTTTGTCTTATGATCCTAATTAGTTTATTATCATATATGTATGCATTTTGAAACTTAATAAAATGCACACAATCTGCTTATATTTATAGTGAATTTATAACATGACTGTAATATCTAGACATTTTATAGCTTGCCAACGTCGATTATGTATTGTTTCACATGCTCGCCCTAAGTGCGACCTAGTGTATGTTGTCTGTCTCATTACACTTCACGGCGAAAAACAATGATTCTGTATAATGCCACAACAAATGAATAAAAACAAAATGCAAATATTAAAATTGAAACAGACTAAAGTTATAGCAACAATGTCAGGCTGTTACCTTGTTTGAGGAATGTATCCATCAATATCCACATAAAGGAACGATATGCCATTCATCTGCAGCTGACAAAGAATCCTGCTCCATGTCATGTGTCTTTTAACAGTCTAATATACGAAAAAGTGAAATATCGTTTCAGGTTTTTCAAATTGGTGTATAGTCTCATTGGTCACCCAAGATAGCACACCTGGCAACTAATTGCATGATGTCCGCCATTCTCTTAAACAGTAATTTAGTTAGCCAATAATGAGCAATCAATCAATATATTGGCGGTTAATCCTTTGAAGGAAGGACATTGTTTTTACACGGGCACTTTACAACAGGATGTATTCAGTATAGATTAGTAAATCTACATACATCAACACTACCTGTTGACAAATCCGTGTGCAAGATAAACGCAATTAATCATTCAGCATGTTATCGGTTAATCCTTTGATCGATGTTTGTTTTTGTAACTCAACTGATAATTCGTCTAGCTGCACTTCCATGCGCCTATTACATAAGATGTAATACATTTGCCACATCAGACCTTAATTTATAATGTTGAGTATTTACTCCAGATACGAGAAATGCCAAATGGGAACCTTTGTCGGGTAATGTGAATGGTGTTACCACAGTGGTGTGGCTGAACACTTCTGAACTGAACCAGGCAGGTGCTACACTTCTGAACTGAACCAGGCAGGTGCTCCACACAAGGGGTGGCTGAACACTTCTGAACTGAACCAGACAGGTGACTCACACAAGGGGTGGCTGAACACTTCTGAACTGAACCAGACAGGTGACTCACACAAGGGGTGGCTGAACACTTCTGAACTGAACCAGACAGGTGACTCACACAAGGGGTGGCTGAACAGTTCTGTAGTGAACCAGGCAGATGTTCCACACAAGGGATGGCTGCGCACTTCTGAACTGAACCAGGCAGGTGCTTCACACAATGGGTGGCTGAACACTTCTGAACTGAACCAGGCAGATGCTTCACACAAAGGGTGGCTGAACACTATGTTGGACTGGGTTTATGGCTTTTCCCCGCCACGGTCATTACCTTCATGCCAAAAATGCTGGAGCGCCAGGATCCAATGTGGAAAATATGCCCAGTTCTTAGATGGTGCCCTATTTTTGACTATTGTGAATATGGAGGATGTACAAAGAGTTCATAACCACAGCCATGCATGCTTGTACAAGACTTATCACCTGTGCCTTGGCCTGGTTGAAGAACACTTCTTCAGGGAAAGTTAAATCACATTAGTCTACATATTCTTGTATATCCTCATGTTACTAAACTGTGTACCTCAAAAGTGGACGCCTATATTCTATGTGTAATTATTTACATTTATAGATGCATGTCTACACCACATGGAACCTCAGTCAGATTAAACAATAAATTGACATAACATCTGTCTGGACTATTGTAACAGTCGACCTCACAGGATTCACAAAAACCTGACAGACATGTTACAAATACTGCAGCCAGACCACACTGACCACTACTTCCTGTAAGAAGTCATCTTCAAACTATTGCTTGTCAACAAACTATGTTGAGCAGCTGACAAGCCACGATGACTTCTTCTGTCACCAACCTGCCTCTGACCCAGATGCCACTAACACTTGAAAACAGACACGCAAATGTCCTGTGACCTTCACCTATGACCTTTCGTGTAAGAAGAATTCCCTTGCGTCAGGCGCAGGTGTTATGGACTGAAGGAGGTCCTACCGTCACTTCTGGCATGTGCAGGAGTTGGTTGACCTTGGTCATGACAGCAGCAGGACACGGTGAGCCGGCCATGATGCCCGTGTACAGGGAGGAGTAGTCGTAGCGGGAGAAGTTGGGGTGGTTCAGCATGTCGATGAACATCGTGGGCACTCCGTACAATGAGGTGCATCTGAAACAATCGGGTGTCTTGACATGAAACTCATTTATTTCACTCAGAAGTAACTACACATAATTGTTTTCGAAATGAAATCAGGAGAGAAAATCTGTTACATATAATCAGACTTTACTTGATATTCTCAAGCATGCTGAAGGTAATCTTCATAAGTGCAAGTTGTTAACATTCCTTCATCTTTAACATAACATTCTAAAGTCATACATGTAAGCATTCTTAATTCTTTCTTACAATGTAAATGTCAACATTCCTACACAGTAAATGTCAACATTCCTACACAGTAAATGTCAACATTCCTACACTGTAAATGTCAACATCCCCACACTGTATATGTCAACATTCCTACACTGTAAATGTCAACATTCCTACACAGTAAATGTCAACATTCCCACACTGTAAATGTCAACATTCCTACACTGTAAATGTCAACATTCCTACACAGTAATTGTCAACATTCCTACATTGTAAATGTCAACATTCCTACACTGTAAATGTAAACATTCCTACACTGTAAATGTAAACATTCCTACACTGTAAATGTCAACATTCCCACGCTGTAAATGTCAACATCCCTACACTGTAAATGTAAACATTCACATACCATATAAATGTCAACATCCCTACACTGTAAATGTCAACATTCACATACCATCAATGTCAACATTCCTCCACTGTAAATGTCAACATTCCTACACTGTAATTGTCAACAATCTTACACTCTAAATGACAACATTCCTACACTGTAAATGTCAACATTGCCGAACTGCACACTGTAAATGTCAACATTCCTACACTATAAATGTCAACATTCCCACACCGTAAATGTCAACATTCCCACACTGTAAATGTCAACATTCCTACCCTGCCGTGAGTGTCCTCACCTCTCCTGCTGCACAGCCTGCAGCGTAGCCTCGGCCTCAAAGCTGGGAGAAGGGAACACACAGCATGCACCATGGGAGGGGATCTGGAGGCAACCCAAGACCATCCCGAAACAGTGGTACAGCGGCACCGGCATACACACACGGGTTTCCTGGAGTCAAACCCAGACTGCAATCTAACACTGACTATAGCACAGAACTAAACAAAACAGACAAGCATGAGGTGTTGGGGAGCTATTCTGTCCTGGAACCTTTACAGGGAGACAAGCATGAGGTGTTGGGGAGCTATTCTGTCCAGGAACCTTTACAGGGAGACAAGCATGAGGTGTTGGGGAGCTATTCTGTCCAGGAATCTCCACAGGGAGACAAGCATGAGGTGTTGGGGAGCTATTCTGTCCAGGAATCTCCACAGGGAGACAAGCATGAGGTGTTGGGGAGCTATTCTGTCCAGGAATCTCCACAGGGAGACAAGCATGAGGTGTTGGGAGCTATTCTGTCCAGGAATCTCCACAGGGAGACAAGCATGAGGTGTTGGGGAGCTATTCTGTCCAGGAATCTCCACAGGGAGACAAGCATGAGGTGTTGGGGAGCTATTCTGTCCAGGAATCTTTACAGGGAGACAAGCATGAGGTGTTGGGGAGCTATTCTGTCCAGGAATCTCCACAGGGAGACAAGCATGAGGTGTTGGGAGCTATTCTGTCCAGGAATCTCCACAGGGAGACAAGCATGAGGTGTTGGGGAGCTATTCTGTCCAGGAATCTCCACAGGGAGACAAGCATGAGGTGTTGGGGAGCTATTCTGTCCAGGAATCTTTACAGGGAGACAAGCATGAGGTGTTGGGGAGCTATTCTGTCCAGGAATCTCCACAGGGAGACAAGCATGAGGTGTTGGGGAGCTATTCTGTCCTGGAATCTTTACAGGGGAGACAAGCATGAGGTGTTGGGAGCTATTCTGTCCAGGAATCTTTACAGGAGACAAGCATGAGGTGTTGGGGAGCTATTCTGTCCAGGAATCTCCACAGGGAGACAAGCATGAGGTGTTGGGAGCTATTCTGTCCAGGAATCTCCACAGGGGAGACAAGCATGAGGTGTTGGGGAGCTATTCTGTCCAGGAATCTCCACAGGGAGACAAGCATGAGGTGTTGGGGAGCTATTCTGTCCAGGAATCTCCACAGGGAGACAAGCATGAGGTGTTGGGGAGCTATTCTGTCCAGGAATCTTTACAGAGAGACAAGCATGAGGTGTTGGGGAGCTATTCTGTCCAGGAATCTCCACAGGGATACAAGCATGAGGTGTTGGGGAGCTATTCTGTCCTGGAATCTCCACAGGGAGACAAGCATGAGGTGTTGGGGAGCTATTGGTACACTTACAGAATACCGGATACCTAATTATATACATTCTATTGTGCGCGTGAGGCTCCTATATGTAGAAGAAACAGAGAGCGCGAGCCTGCGAGCGATCCAATAAAAATACGAATTTAAGGTAAAAAATAAGGTTAAAATCGAATTCCTCACCTTACTTCCGGTTTAGGAAACCTAAACTGGGGATTTTAACAGCGTTCACTGACGTAAACAGAGTAAAAAGTAATCGTGTGTTGAAATTTTATTCAAATGCATGCTGGGAAAAGGAACTCTACAGTGTGGGAACACTCTGATGGTAAGTGATTTTTGATTGGTAAGGTAAGGTAGGTAAGGCTTTTAAATAAAGGGGGGTACCCCCTTTACCCCCATTATCTTACCTTTTTTTAGCTTTAATATTGTTTAATATTTAATATTTACTATTAAACGCTGCTTCAACACAGCCTTCTTTCATCGTGTGCCGTTGCTAAGGAAACAAAATGGAAGTGCGCAAAAATAAATGCGCAATCAAAATAAAAATGGCGGATAGGTATCCGGTATTCTGTAATCTTGCCCTATTCTGTCCAGGAACCTTTACAGGGAGACAAGCATGAGGTGTTGGGGAGCTATTCTGTCCAGGAATCTGTACAGGGAGACAAGCATGAGGTGTTGGGGAGCTATTCTGTCCAGGAATCCCCACAGAGAGACAAGCATGAGGTGTTGGGGAGCTATTCTGTCCAGGAATCTCCACAGGGAGACAAGCATGAGGTGTTGGGGAGCTATTCTGTCCTGGAATCTCCACAGGGAGACAAGCATGAGGTGTTGGGGAGCTATTCTGTCCAGGAATCTCCACAGGGAGACAAGCATGAGGTGTTGGGGAGCTATTCTGTCCAGGAATCTCCACAGGGAGACAAGCATGAGGTGTTGGGGAGCTATTCTGTCCAGGAATCTCCACAGGGAGACAAGCATGAGGAGAGGTGTTGGGGAGCTATTCTGTCCAGGAATCTCCACAGGGAGACAAGCAAGAAGCTTGGTGTCGAATATGAATAAAATCCTGTGAATGATTCTTGAGATATCTCGCTGACAAGGGTAAAGCGTTAAAGTCACCTTGCGACCTTGAAATGAAGGTCAAGGTCACCAAATCTGACTGGGACTTTTTTCATACTGTGATGAACCTAGGTACCATATATGAAAAGAATCTAGTCAACGGTTCCTAAGATATTCCAATTCGCGTACGTACGGATTGATGGACGGAGCCTAATACTATATCCCCCGCTTCGAGCTAGTAAGTAATTACTTCACTGGCATGTGTGTTTCATGCAATCAAACATTGTCTGTATTATGGGTCTGTTTGTCTGTCTGTCTGTCTGTCTGCATATTGTGATTTTAATACCAACAGGTTCCAAAAATGTACTCCATCCCCACTAGATATAGCTACAGTGTTTTTATGTAACAGGAAAACGGACACATTATGAAATAACTGTTTTTTACTAAACATGTCTTTAACAAACTTAAGCACAACCTGGGAGTGTGTGTCTATTAAGAGTAGGGTGGGGAATGGGGTACCCTCAGTTTGATATATATCATAGTCATAGTATTCTATATCCAGTAGATAACACGCCAGTGGTCCGATGTGTAAACTTCTCGGTAGCATCATGCAGATGTTGCCATACCATGACTATTGTTATACTTTTCACAATCAATGCCTATTGCATCACCATGATCAACCCCATGCAAAACGGAAGAATAGATATGGATGCTTTATTGAATTCATATATGCCATATGAATAAAACTATTAAATATATTCTTCTTTATTATTATTCTATTTTTTAAAGCACATAGATTGTTAAAAATACATGGTTGAATTAATTAGTTATGTGTTTCAAATTCATTATTAATTCTATAATGTGGTAACAACCATTTTGCAGTTACTATTTAACCAAACCTGAAGAGGTTTTAAATTCTTCGAAGAGAGTCGTCCTTGGGGTACATATTATGCATTTTCCGAGCTGAAAATATCCTGTGACAGTTGTATCAATGTTTTTGAATAAAAATATTGTACAATAAATAAAAACCTTTTATTTATTATATGGCCCCCACCTCGTGGAGTTACCTCCCGTTGAGCATGCGCACCAACTGGGTAAGCATCTAGGCCCGTATCATCATTCCTTCTGCTGAATAAATCAGTTAACAGAATTGCGGGGAGGCGGGAGGCCCTACCCCAAGGACGACTCTCTTCAAAGAATTTAAAACCTCTTCAGGTTTGGTTAATTCTTCTTCATAGAGATCGTCCTTGGGGTACATATTATGCATAAACACAGACTCCCAAAGACCGGAGGCCAGGGAGGAGGGAATTCTGTCAAAGCCCACCCAAATAGCGATCGTTAATTGAATAATGTAACAGACGCCATAATCACTCACCTGTCACATGTCCCGGTTTGCGCTTCCGCGAGAGGCATTATGGGAGGGTAACTAACAGGGAGGAATAGTACTCAGAGACGACCTCGCAGGTAAGCATAAGAATTCGCACATGGTGTGAATGTAAACAAAAACCCCACCCACCTTGTGTCGATTAGAGAGCACCGGAGGGTGGAATTTAAAAACGCTCACTACCGACCTATATTCTCCGTAGAGGATCGAAAGGAGGTTAAACACCCAGCAGCGGATAGGTCAATAAAAACACAGTATTGAACAGCAGCGTCAACAAAACCAATGAACCAAGACTCACTCGGTCAGGGTGGCAGGACACTGTCCACTGGAGAGAACAGAAAGGCCAAAGCTCGCACGATCACGGGAATGTGTATCGAGCTGATAGTGCCGAATAAACGTGCTAGGCCGGCTCCAAATAGCGGCAGAGCAGATCTCTTCAATGGGGAGTGCCGATGCAAAAGCTTTTGATGCGGCTACTGCCCTGACCGAGTGAGCCTTCAACCCCTCAGGGGGAGGCTTGCCCTTAGCCTGATACGCAGCACAAATAGCCGAGACGAGCCAGCGAGACAAAGTCTGCTTGCTCGCCGGCACACCAGCCTTCCCGCCACCGTAACAACAGAACAGCTGGGTACCCGTACGGATTCCCTGTGTTCGTTTGATATAGACCTTGAGAGTCTTACGGACATCCAACGGGTGAGTGCTCGTTGCAGAGGTCCCCGATGTGGAAGGCTGGGTAAGAGTGGGAAGTTCGATAGGAGCTGTCACATGGAAAGCGTGATCGACCTTCGGGCGGTAAGTATCCGGGAGGCGAATACTGACACGATCAGTGTGAAACACAGTCAGCGCCACCGCCACCAGAAATACAGCCTTCCAAGTTAACAACTGAATGGAAATAGCCGATAGGTGTGAGAAAGTGGGACCGGACAGCCAATCGAGCACGATTGACAAATCCCAAGGTGGGCTGGTTTGCCTGACAGCAGGTCGAACCCGATCCGCGCCAGCTAAAAAGCGAGAGGGTGCTGCCCCAGAAGAGCACCAGGGGTGTGAAAAGTGGAAATAGCGGTGGAGTAGCCACGGATGGTCGAAGCCGCCAGGCCTTCTTCCAAACGAGCTTGCAAAAACTCCAATACTCGGACTAAATCCGCAGAAAAGGGATCTGCAATCCCCCTATCTGAACACCAGCGCGCATAGCGGGACCACCTATCCTCGTACTGAACGTTTGTCGAATCCCGTCTTGAAGCCAGAATTGTGTCTGCAACTGCTGCAGGAATTCCGCGTGCTTCAAGGCTAGACCTGACAGAGGCCAAGCCACCCACTGAATCCTTGGATTGGGGTGGGGTGCTCCGTTCTGAGTGAGAATGTCCGGTCGCAAAGGTAATAGAACAGGAGGCTGAGCCAGAAACCTGAGAATTACCGAAACCAGCTCTCCAGGACGGCCAAAGCGGTGCCAGTAGCACAAGCAGCCGAGCTGGCTGGGTGGACAGCTGTGAGAGGACACGGGAATGAGTGGTAACGGCGGAACGCCCAGAGTACTTTGCCCGTCCAATCCAGCAGGAAGGCGCCGGCAGCCAACGCCCTCGGTCCGTATTCGAGAGCAGAACACGGTGTCTGATTCGCCCCGCCGACGCAAACAGATCCACCTGGAACGCACCCGCATAACTGGGGAGATAACTCTGAATATCTGCCGGTCGAAAGCATCCACTGCAAGGGGCCAGGATCCGCGCGAGAGAGCGCCTGCTCGCACGCTCTCCAGCCCCGGAGATAAACAGGGAGTACCTGACAATCGCACTGGTCGCACCAGAGGAGAAAGTCCCATGTCTCCCGGAGGAGCCAGGACACCGCGTCGCCTTTGCTTCAGGATGTACGACATGGCCGCCTGGTTGTCCAACTGAAGACGAACCACCTGGCCCTGGACATGCTCTCGAAGCCGAAAACCAACCGCACAGCTCTCAGTTCCAACACGCTGATGTGAAGGTGGGCTTCGCTTCGACCAGAGTCCGGACACCGACAGACTGCCCAGAACACCCCCAGCCCGTGAGGGACGATCGGGTCTGAACTGTAAGAGCTGGCGCGGGATTTCCAAGGGGACCCCCTGGTGAGATTCCCGACATTGGTCCACCACTGAAGGTGAGGAGACAACCACCCGGGACTGTGAGACTCGCCCAGGTCCTCCGAAAGTGAGCCCACAGACTCGCCAAAGCTTGTTGTATCGGGTGCATCCTCAACCCGCCTCGCCACACTACAGAGATCGCCGCCGCCATATGGCTCCAGTAGACGGAGCCAAGTCCGTGCTGGTGCCTGGGGCTGGGAGAGGAACGAAGACACCATCTCCGCATTTGGTGACCCGGTCGGGCGACAAGGAAACAAGATCCTAGTGTGTTTGGAACCTCGCCCCGAGAAAAACCAAGTCCTGGGTGGGTACCAGGTCGGATTTCTTGAGGTTGATGATCCACCCCAGTCGAACTAGAATGTCTATCACCTTGTGAGTAGAATCTAGGCTCGCTGGCTGTGTCAGTGCACCGAGCAACCAGTCGTCGAGGTAAGGGTAACAACGCCTTCCTTGCGAGCGAAGCGAGGGTAGCCGGGACTAACATGAGCTTGGTGAACACCCTGGGGGCAGTGGATATGCCGAAGGGGAGCACCGTGAATTGGTAACACATCCCGTCGTAAGAGAACCGAAGGTACTGCTTGAACGATGGATGTATGGGCACATGCAGATACGCATCCTTGAGGTCGATTGACGTGAGCCAATCGCCTGGCTGAACAGAGGAGATCACCGAGCGCAGTGTCTCCATCTTGAAGGATGGAACTTCAAGCATGCGATTCAACCCCTTGAGGTTGAGAATGGGACGGAACCCGCCGTCTTTCTTCGGAACGAGGAAGTACGTGGAGTAAAATCCCGCCTGTTCCTCGCCTGGTGGTATGCGCTCGATAGCGGACTTGTCCAGCAAAGCCTGGACTTCGTCGCGCAGTATGTCCGCCCTTGCCTGACATGACGGCACCGGAGTGCGGCGTATGCCGGTGAAGTCTGGCGGACCTCGCTTCCACAGTGGTAAATGGCCGACACCGACGGTGGCCAGCACCCAAGGGTTGCTGGTAGCCTTCTCCCACTCCGGCAGGAATAGAGAGAGGCGGCCTCCCACTGGGACGTTGGGTAAGAGCGCGTGAGTGGTCCCGAGTAGCGGAGCTGACTGGGAGTGACACACGTCTTGTGCTACAGCCTGATGGGTTAACGGGAGGTCGGGCAGACCTCCCGCGCCCGCGAAAAGGCTGGGAGCCAGTCGAAGAGGACTGCTCTTTGCCCTTACCCTTGGCGGGACGGCTCCTCCGCCTACCCCTGCCTAGCGGCCGAGGCCAGCCAGCAGACTCGGGTGTAGGCTGCACCCCGGCGGAGGAAGTCGGAACGGGAGCGTGGGGGCGAGAAGCCCGCGGGTGCTCCAACAAGGCCTTAGAGTCCTTGAAGGAGGTAGCTGCAGCGGCAGCCTCCCGGATGACCTGCTGTGCCCCAGGAAACAGCGTCGCTCCCAGACGGTAGGGGAGGGCCAGCAAGGTCTGCTGTGTAGCAGCCGAAAGTACCGGTGACGCCGACAGCCACAGCTTTGGCGATCCCCATGACTGCGCGACATCACCGCCGCCGACGCAGCCCACCGCAAAGAGTCGCGCGCGAGGTGTGCCTGGACTTCGGATAGTTGACGGAGCAGAACGACATGCGGAGAAACGTCTCCAGCGTGCCCCTCCGCCTCCAGGGCCGACCTCTGGATCGAGGAGAGGTAGGCCTCGTGGACCACTACCCGCACCTGCTGCATAGCTGCCCGCAGACCTCCTCGTGAGGTCCAGCACGCATGCCGCAGGGGGCTTCCGCCGAGAGGGCAAAAGGTGGTGTCAAACGCCCTTGCCTGGCAGCCGGAGCTGCCCGAGGAAGCCGAAGCCTCCCCAGGGCTTAATCGGCGAAAACACATTCGCCGACCATTGGTACAGCTTAACAGGGAATCTTCCCCAGCTGGTACCTCCGACAAGCTCAGGCAAGTCAAACGGAGGCAGGACCCAGACAGGAGGGGATCGACCACGCCCTGCACCAAGGACGGCAGAATGCGGAGCTGCGCCTGCCGGGCTGCCGAGGGCAAACGCCTCGCCTGGCAAGCGGAACTCAGTCGAAGTCCGAAGGCTGGTAGGCACCGCTGCCTGGGGAAGGAACTTGGCAATGCGCTGCCGGACTTCCCTCAGAGCTGACGAAAAACGGAAGGCACCCTCCTGCTCCTCAACCTCCCCAGTGTCCATGGACTCGCCGCCGGAGCCCGAAGTCCGAGGCTGGGTCTCCCCTCGCGAAGAGGACCCAACCCCGACCCGGGGGGCGCCTAGCACCAGTCACAGAGGAGAGGGAAGAACAGACAGAGCGCCCCGCGTCAGCACCTGCCATCACGCACGAACCCCGGTCCCGAGATGCTGGAGGCAGACCAGGCAGAACTGGTGCCTCCGCTCTCATGGGGCGAGACGGCGCAGGGACCGGAACCCCAGGAATCGTCAACGGACCCTGCGCCAACTCCGAGAGGGGGACTGGGAGCGAAGCCTCCCCCTCCGGGGCAGCCGAGGCGTCTGGACCCGAAGCCAGAGGCAACGGATCAACAGACGCCTCCAGGCCGAGGGATCGAGCCGGGCTCGGCGATCCCACCCTCAGACTCTCCGTCCCCTGCTCCGAGTGGGCGAGGAACTCCTGGCAGAGACCTCCAACCGACTCGTGAACAAGGGACTTCACCGAGTCCATGTGCTGCTGGAATAACTGAGTAATCAGAGACATATCAAATACGCTACTAGGAGCATTGGAAGGCGACTGACTTCGCGACTTTCTGCCTTTACTTTTAGGCTTTTTTGCTTTTGACGGGGACCTGGGTCAATTCCCCTCCCGCCTCACGCATCTCCCTATAGAATAGGAAGTCGGCCGCCCGTCTCTTCTGGGCCCGGGGGGAGAAACCCATACAGATCTCGCAAGTTTCCGTGATATGGTCAGTTTTCTCAAGGCACACGATACACTTATCATGGCGGTCGGCCCGGGGATACTTTGCCCGCAGACCTAACATGAAGAAAACGCCTGAAAGCAAACACGCAAGCATGTAGCTAACAGCGACCAGCAGTCTAAGATACACGTGAGAAAACATTGAAAATACGTGAATACTAACCACGGGAAGAAATAGTTGGTTCAATACGCAATATTACAACCACGTGGCACGCTAAACTTCCCGCCATGGAAGAGCAACATGCGCAAAACCACGGAAAGTTAGCTTAAAATAATTAACACAAAGTCACAATTATGAAACAACCGATCATAAAGCTTTTTTACTGTTCCTTTACAAGGACAAAATAAAGACCATACATACAGGTGGTGGCGTCTCAGACATTATTCTCTTTGGTTCACAAGAGTACAGCTCTGCTCGACACATGCGTCTTTACAAGGCAGTGACAGCAGAAGGAATGATGATACGGGCCTAGGTGCTTACCCAGTTGGTGCGCATGCGTAACGGGAGGTAACTCCACGAGGTGGGGGCCGTATAATAAATAAAAAGGTTTTATTTATTGTACAATATTTTTATTCAAAAACATTGATACAACTGTCACAGGACATTTTCAGCTAGGAAAATGCATAATATGTACCCCAAGGACGATCTCTATGAAGAAGAATGCTGGGCGTTCAGTTTATATACAGCAGGAGAAAATGTGTCCAAATCATTGAATCATACGTTATCAAATTTGCTAAAATAAAATTGATAACTATATTCAGTCAATGTGGTCATTCAGATCCTTGCTGTTATGTGTACAATTTTGTGACAATAGCAAGCTACACAAAATATCAATGCACATGTTGGTGTTGAATACAATGCTGGGAACCCGGCTGCAGGGAGACAAGCATGATGAGAGGAGAGTCAATCTTTTTCACAGTACAATAAAGTGGTACCCACCCTCTGGTGGTAGTCAAGTCTCTGCCCGACGAGGTAGCTGTTGTTCAGGATGTTGTGGTGGGACAGAGTGGCGCCCTTCGGGAAGCTCGTTGTTCCCTGGAGCCAAATACGACACATGGCAAGAAATGGTGATAAACTCGGTCAACATTGGAGAAACTTGGACACGTCAGGCCACTTCCTTGTCATGTTATGTCACCTGAAAACTGACCTACTTACTGATCATCCGCTGATTCATCGGGATGAATATTCAACACATAAAAGACAATCCTGGTCGTGATATATGAACTGTTCACTTAGAAATGAATTTAAATGATAAACCTTCTTAATACTGACAGACATCTGTATCCATACACTGGAGTTTACAAGGCTGGCAAATCCTGCTTTCCTAAGCAAAGAACCCAGAGATATACTCACTGACGTAAACTGAACATTGACGGGATCATCAAACTGCAGGCGATTTTGTAAATCCAAGATGGCTGCTCTGTCCTTGCTAGTTCCTGCTTCCATCACCTGAGAGAATTTCAGTGCCCCTCTAGAACAAAGAAGAGTGAGTGAAAGGGCAAGTGGAAGGGTGGGGGATAGGGCAAGTGTCTACCTGTACAGGTACATGGGGCCTTCAACATTGTCTACCTGTACAGGTACATGGCACCTTCAACATTTTCTACCTGTACAGGTACATCGGACCTTCAACACTGTCTACATGTACAGGTACATCGGACCTTCAACACTGTCTACCTGTACAGGTACATGGCACCTTCAACACCGACTACCTGTACAGGTACATTTGTGAGTGTGAGTGAGTTTAGTTTTACGCCGCACTCAGCAATATTCCAGCTATATGGCGGCGGTCTGTAAATAATCGAGTCCGGACCAGACAATCCAGTGATCAACAGCATGAGCATCGATCTGCGCAATTGGGAACCGATGACATTTGTCAACCAAGTCAGCGAAACTGACCACCCGATCCCGTTAGTCGTCTCTTACGACAAGATAGTCAGCCTTGTTATGGCAAGCACATGGGTTGCTGAAGACCTATTCTATCCCGGATCTTCACGGGTTTACAGGTACATGGGACCTTCAACACCGACTGTCTACCTGTAGAGGATCATAGGACCTTCAACACAGACTGTCTACCTGTACAGGTACATGGCACCTTCAACACCGACTGTCTACCTGTAGAGGATCATAGGACCTTCAACACCAACTGTCTACCTGTAGAGAAACATGGGACCTTCAACACAGACTGTCTACCTGTACAGGTACATGGCACCTTCAACACCGACTGTCTACCTGTATAGGTACATGGGACCTTCAACACCGACTGTCTACCTGTACAGGTACATGGCACCTTCAACACCGACTGACTGTCTACCTGTACAGGTACATGGGACCTTCAACACCGACTGTCTACCTGTACAGGTACATGGGACCTTCAACACCGACTGTCTACCTGTACAGGTACATGGGACCTTCAACACCGACTGTCTACCTGTACAGGTACATGGGACCTTCAACACCGACTGTCTACCTGTACAGGTACATGGGACCTTCAACACCGACTGTCTACAGGTACATGTACAGGTACATGGGACCTTCAACACCGACTGTCTACCTGTACAGGTACATGGGACCTTCAACACCGACTGTCTACCTGTACAGGTACATGGGACCTTCAACACCGACTGTCTACCTGTACAGGTACATGGCACCTTCAACACTGTCTACCTGTACAGGTACATGGCACCTTCAACACAGACTGTCTACCTGTACAGGTACATGGCACCTTCAACACTGTCTACCTGTAGAGGAACATGGGACCTTCAACGACGACTGTCTACCTGTACAGGTACATGGCACCTTCAACACTGTCTACCTGTACAGGTACATGTGACCTTCAACACAGACTGTCTACCTGTACAGGTACATGTGACCTTCAACACCGACTGTCTACCTGTATAGGTACATGGGACCTTCAACACCGACTGTCTACCTGTACAGGTACATGGCACCTTCAACACTGTCTACCTGTAGAGGAACATGGGACCTTCAACACCGACTGTCTATCTGTAGAGGAACATAGGACCTTCAACACTGACTGTCTACCTGTAGAGGAACATGGGACCTTTAACACCGACTGTCTACCTGAACAGGTACATGGGGCCTTCAACACCGACTGTCTACCTGTACAGGTACATGGCACCTTCAACACCGACTATCTACCTGTACAGGTACATGGGACCTTCAACACCGACTGTCTACCTGTACAGGTACATGGCACCTTCAACACCGACTGTCTACCTGTACAGGTACATGGGACCTTCAACACTGACTGTCTACCTGTACAGGTACATGGCACCTTCAACACTGACTGTCTACCTGTACAGGTACATGGCACCTTCAACACCGACTGTCTACCTGTACAGGTACATGGCACCTTCAACACTGACTGTCTACCTGTACAGGTACATGGCACCTTCAACACTGACTGTCTACCTGTACAGGTACATGGCACCTTCAACACCGACTGTCTACCTGTACAGGTACATGGCACCTTCAACACTGACTGTCTACCTGTACAGGTACATGGGACCTTCAACACCGACTGTCTACCTGTATTGGTCGTCTCCCATCATGATGAGCAGTTTCAACTGTGGCAGGCTGTAAACAGAAATTGAACTTGTTTAACACTGTCCCACCTTATGGGGAGACAGGTAGGGAGTGGAAGTTGTTTATCACTGTCCCACCTAATGGGGAGACAGGTAGGGAGTGGCAGTTGTTTAACACTGTCCCAACCTAATGGGGAGACAGGTAGGGAGTGGAAGTTGTTTAACACTGTCCCACCTTATGGGGAGACAGGTAGGGAGTGGAAGTTGTTTAACACTGTCCCACCTAATGGGGAGACAGGTAGGGATTGGAAGTTGTTTAACACTGTCCCACCTAATGGGGAGACAGGTAGGGATTGGAAGTTGTTTAACACTGTCCCAACTAATATGGGGAGACAGGTAGTTTAACACTGATGGGGGGAGACAGGTGGTTTAACAGTAGTTGATTAACACTGTCCCAACTAATGGGGAGACAGGTAGGTGGGGAGACAGGTAGGGAGTGGAAGTTGTTTAACACTGTCCCAACTAATGGGGAGACAGGTAGGGAGTGGAAGTAGTTGATTAACACTGTAACACAGGTAGGAGTGGCAGTAGTTGTTTAACACCACCTAATGGGGAGAAGGTAGGGATTGGGACTGACAGGACAGGTAGGAGTGGAAGTAGTTGTTTAACACTGTCCTAATGGGGAGACAGGTAGGGAGTGGAAGTAGTTGTTTAACACTGTCCCACCTAATGGGGAGACAGGTAGGGAGTGGAAGTAGTTGTTTAACACTGTCCCAACTAATGGGGAGACAGGTAGGAAGTGGAAGTAGTTGTTTAACACTGTCCCAACTAATGTTTAACACTGAGACATGGGGAGACAGGTAGGAGTGGAAGTAGTTGTTTAACACTGTCCCAACTAATGGGGAGACAGGTAGGAGTGGAAGAAGTTGTTTAACACTGTCCCACCTAATGGGGAGACAGGTAGGGAGTGGAAGTAGTTGTTTAACACTGTCCCACCTAATGGACAGGTAGGGATTGGAAGTTGTTTAACACTGTCCCAACTAATGGGGAGACAGGTAGGAAGTGGAAGTAGTTGTTTAACACTGTCCCACCTAATGGGGAGACAGGTAGGGAGTGGAAGTTGTTTAACACTGTCCCATCTTATGGGGAGACAGGTAGGGAGTGGAAGTAGTTGTTTAACACTGTCCCACCTTATGGGGAGACAGGTAGGGAAGTTGTTTAACACTGTCCCACCTAATGGGGAGACAGGAGTGGAAGTAGTTGTTTAACACTGTCCCACCTAATGGGGAGACAGGTAGGGAGGGAAGTTGTTTAACACTGTCCCAACTAATGGGGAGACAGGTAGGGAGTGGAAGTAGTTGTTTAACACTGTCCCACCTAATGAGGGAGACAGTAGTTGTTTAACACTGGTAGGGGTAGTTGATTAACACTGTCCCAACCAATGGGGAGACAGGTAGGAGTGGAAGTAGTTGTTTAACACTGTCCCACCTAATGGGGAGACAGGTAGGGAGTGGAAGTAGTTGTTTAACACTGTCCCACCTAATGGGGAGACAGGTAGGGAGTGGAAGTAGTTGTTTAACACTGTCCCACCTAATGGGGAGACAGGTAGGGAGTGGAAGTAGTTGTTTAACACTGTCCCACCTAATGGGGAGACAGGTAGGGAGTGGAAGTAGTTGTTTAACACTGTCCCACCTAATGGGGAGACAGGTAGGGAGTGGAAGTAGTTGTTTAACACTGTCCCACCTAATGGGGAGACAGGTAGGGAGTGGAAGTAGTTGTTTAACACTGTCCCACCTAATGGGGAGACAGGTAGGGAGTGAAGGTTTAACACTGTCCCACCTAATGGGGGAGACAGGTAGGGAGTGGAAGTAGTTGTTTAACACTGTCCCACCTAATGTGGGAGACAGGTAGGGAGTGGAAGTAGTTGTTTAACACTGTCCCACCTAATGGGGAGACAGGTAGGGAGTGGAAGTAGTTGATTAACACTGTCCCACCTAATGGGGAGACAGGTAGGGAGTGGAAGTAGTTGTTTAACACTGTCCCAACTAATGGGGAGACAGGTAGGGAGTGGAAGTAGTTGATTAACACTGTCCCACCTAATGGGGAGACAGGTAGGGAGTGGAAGTTGTTGTTTGGCAAGTCAGCTGTATTTCAGCCACATGATGATCTACATATGTGAGTCTGGCAATCCAGTGACTGAAGCATCACAACACAACAACCCAGGATAGGCCCTCCTGGCTACAATCATCTTCCACACATTTAAGCCAAATTTTCATCTTTCGTTTCCTCCTTGTAAAGGCAAGATTATGTGTACATGAAGTTGTGAGTATAAAACATAGAGTGCATTATAAAGGTAATGAAGATACATAAAGTACTCGCTGTGGGGTTTAAGTAGTACAAGCAGGGCTGGGAATACAACCATCTCTAATTCATGTCTTATGACTCGAGGATGGTCTGTACTTACATGTTACTGTGGATATCTCCAGGGTGGTCTGTACATACATGAGACTGTGGATATCTCCAGGGTGGGCTGTACTTACATGTTACTGTGGATATCTCCAGGGTGGTCTGTACGTCATATGACTGTGGATATCTCCAGGGTGGTCTGTACTTACATGTGACTGTGGATATCTCCAGGGTGGTCTGTACGTACATGTGACTGTGGATATCTCCAGGGTGGGCTGTACTTACATGTGACTGTGGATATCTCCAGGGTGGGCTCTGTAATTACATGTGACTGTGGATATCTCCAGGGTGGGCTGTACTTTACATGTGACTGTGGATATCTCCAGGGTGGGCTGTACTTACATGTGACTGTGGATATCTCCAGGGTGGTCTGTACTTACATGTGACTGTGGATATCTCCAGGGTGGGCTGTAATGCTACATGTGACTGTGGATATCTCCAGGGTGGGCTGTACTTACATGTGACTGTGGATATCTCCAGGGTGGGCTGTAATTTACATGTGACTGTGGATATCTCCAGGGTGGGCTGTACTTACATGTGACTGTGGATATCTCCAGGGTGGGCTGTACTTACATGTGACTGTGGATATCTCCAGGGTGGGCTGTAATTTACATGTGACTGTGGATATCTCCAGCATGGTCTGTACTTACATGTGACTGTGGATATCTCCAGGGTGGGCTGTACTTACATGTGACTGTGGATATCTCCAGGGTGGGCTGTACTTACATGTGACTGTGGATATCTCCAGGGTGGGCTGTACTTACATGTGACTGTGGATATCTCCAGGGTGGGCTGTACTTACATGTGACTGTGGATATCTCCAGGGTGGGCTGTACTTACATGTGACTGTGGATATCTCCAGGGTGGGCTGTACTTACATGTGACTGTGGATATCTCCAGGGTGGGCTGTACTTACATGTGACTGTGGATATCTCCCAGGGTGGGCTGTTACATGTGACTGTGGATATCTCCAGGGTGGGCTGTACATACATGTGACTGTGGATATCTCCAGGGTGGGCTGTAATGCACATGTGACTGTGGATATCTCCAGGGTGGGCTGTACTTACATGTGACTGTGGACATCTCCAGGGTGTGCTGTACTTACATGTGACTGTGGATATCTCCAGGGTGGGCTGTACTTACATGTGACTGTGGATATCTCCAGGGTGGGCTGTACGTACATGTGACTGTGGACATCTCCAGGGTGGGCTGTACTTACATGTGACTGTGGATATCTCCAGGGTGGGCTGTACTTACATGTGACTGTGGATATCTCCAGGGTGTGCTGTACTTACATGTGACTGTGGATATCTCCAGGGTGGGCTGTACGTACATGTGACTGTGGATATCTCCAGGGTGGGCTGTACTTACATGTGACTGTGGATATCTCCAGGGTGGGCTGTACTTACATGTGACTGTGGATATCTCCAGGGTGGGCTGTACTTACATGTGACTGTGGATATCTCCAGGGTGGGCTGTACTTACATGTGACTGTGGATATCTCCAGGGTGGGCTGTACTTACATGTGACTGTGGATATCTCCAGGGTGGGCTGTACATGCATGTGACTGTGGATATCTCCAGGGTGGGCTGTACTTACATGTGACTGTGGATATCTCCAGGGTGGGCTGTACTTACATGTGACTGTGGATATCTCCAGGGTGGGCTGTACTTACATGTGACTGTGGATATCTCCAGGGTGGGCTGTACTTTACATGTGACTGTGGATATCTCCAGGGTGGTCTGTAATGTACATGTGACTGTGGATATCTCCAGGGTGGGCTGTACTTACATGTGACTGTGGATATCTCCAGGGTGGTCTGTACTTACATGTGACTGTGGATATCTCCAGGGTGGGCTGTACTTACATGTGACTGTGGATATCTCCAGGGTGGGCTGTACTTACATGTGACTGTGGATATCTCCAGGGTGGGCTGTACTTACATGTGACTGTGGATATCTCCAGGGTGGGCTGTACTTACATGTGACTGTGGATATCTCCAGGGTGGGGCTGTACTTACATGTGACTGTGGACATCTCCAGGGTGGGCTGTACTTACATGTGACTGTGGATATCTCCAGGGTGGGCTGTACTTACATGTGACTGTGGATATCTCCAGGGTGGGCTGTACTTACATGTGACTGTGGATATCTCCAGGGTGGGCTGTACTTACATGTTACTGTGGATATCTCCAGGGTGGGCTGTACGTACATGTGACTGTGGATATCTCCAGGGTGGGCTGTACTTACATGTGACTGTGGATATCTCCAGGGTGGGCTGTACTTACATGTGACTGTGGACATCTCCAGGGTGGGCTGTACTTACATGTGACTGTGGATATCTCCAGGGTGGGCTGTACTTACATGTGACTGTGGATATCTCCAGGGTGGGTTGTACTTACATGTGACTGTGGATATCTCCAGGGTGGGCTGTACTTACATGTGACTGTGGACATCTCCAGGGTGGGCTGTACTTACATGTGACTGTGGACATCTCCAGGGTGGGCTGTACTTACATGTGACTGTGGACATCTCCAGGGTGGGCTGTACTTACATGTGACTGTGGATATCTCCAGGGTGGGCTGTACTTACATGTGACTGTGGATATCTCCAGGGTGGGCTGTACTTACATGTGACTGTGGATATCTCCAGGGTGGGCTGTACTTACATGTGACTGTGGATATCTCCAGGGTGGGCTGTACTTACATGTGACTGTGGATATCTCCAGGGTGGGCTGTACTTACATGTGACTGTGGATATCTCCAGGGTGGGCTGTACTTACATGTGACTGTGGATATCTCCAGGGTGGGCTGTACTTACATGTGACTGTGGATATCTCCAGGGTGGGCTGTACTTACATGTGACTGTGGATATCTCCAGGGTGGGCTGTACTTACATGTGACTGTGGATATCTCCAGGGTGGGCTGTACTTACATGTGACTGTGGATATCTCCAGGGTGGGCTGTGGCCAACTCAGGGATGATGCTGTACAACAGCTGATAGTAGTCCATATCCTTGTATCCTGGGGCAGCTATGAGAGCCTTGCAGCCTACCTGGGGTGGCAGCCAGATCAGTCAGTGAGGACACCACAAAACAATAGTTCATGTAGCTGGCCCTGATACACAGTCTACGATACCCACTTTAGAACATTTAGTTTCACAGGTTCTCTATAGTATGCTTTGTATTTGTGACCCGTGAAGGTCTGGGTTAGAATTGATCTTTAGTAACCCATGCTTGTCGTAAGAGGCGACTAACGGGATCAGATGGTCAGGCTCGCTGACTTGGTTGACACATGTCATCAGTTCCCAATTGCGCAGATCGATGTTAATGCTGTTGATCACTGGATTGTCTTGTCCAGACTCGATTATTTACAGACCGCCGCCATATAGCTGGAATATTGCTGAGTGCAGCATAAAACTAAACTCACTCACTCACTTTGTATCTGTTGAAACCCTTCTGTAGTACATGTGCTGTTATAGAGATATTAGACAGAGCTGTGAGTGAGTAAATTGTGATTTATATTGCAGTAAAATTAAGGCTTGTCAGTAAAATGTGAGACTAAAGATCATTGTTAACCTTGTATTCCAGCCCATAACGATTGGTCTCTGACGACTAAGAGCCACAACTCTGCCTGAGATGACTTGGCTGGTACAAGCCCATCAGTCCAACAGATTCAGGAAATATAAGATAACCTCTCACCTTGTTCAGTGCATACTCCAACTCCTTCTCCCTGTACTGAGGGTTGATGTTCACCTGCAACAGTTACCATGGTTACTGGGTGACATGACCAAATGTTCACATGATATTATCAGGGCCCATATATATTTAAGTAACGTTATCAGGGCCCATATATATTTAAGTAACGTTATCAGGGCCCATATATATTTAAGTAACGTTATCAGGGCCCATGTATATTCAAGTAACATCAGGGCCCATATATATTCAAGTAACATCATCAGGGCCCATATATATTCTAGTAATATCATCAGGGCCCATATATATTCAAGTAACATTATCAGGGCCCATATATATTCAAGTAACATCATCAGGGCCCATATATATTCTAGTAATATCATCTGGCCCCATATATATTCAAGTAACATTATCAGGCCCCATATATATTCAAGTAACATCAGGGCCCATATATATTCTAGTAACATTATCAGGCCCCATATATATTCTAGTAATATCATCAGGGCCCATATATATTCAAGTAACATCATCAGGCCCCATATATATTCAAGTAACATTATCAGGGCCCATATACATCTTCAAGTAATATCATCAGGCCCCATATATATTCTAGTAATATCATCAGGGCCCATATATATTCAAGTAACATCATCAGGCCCCATATATATTCAAGTAACATCATCAGGCCCCATATATATTCAAGTAACATCATCAGGCCCCATATATATTCAAGTAACATTATCAGGGCCCATATATATTCAAGTAACATCATCAGTAACCCAGGCCCATATATATATTCAAGTAACATTATCAGGGCCCATATATATTCAAGTAACATTATCAGGGCCCATATATATTCAAGTAACATTATCAGGTATTCAAGTAATATCATCAGGCCCCATATATATTCAAGTAACATTATCAGGGCCAATATATATTCAAGTAACATCATCAGGGCCCATATATATTCAAGTGACATCAGCAGGCCCCATATATATTCAAGTAACATTATCAGGCCCCATATATATTCAAGTAACATCATCAGGCCCCATATATATTCAAGTAACATTATCAGGCCCCATATATATTCTAGTAATATCATCAGGGCCCATATATATTCTAGTAACATCATCAGGCCCCATATATATTCAAGTAACATTATCAGGGCCCATATATATTCAAGTAACATTATCAGGGCCCTATATATTCAAGTAACATCATCAGGCCCCATATATATTCAAGTAACATTATCAGGGCCCATATATATTCAAGTAACATTATCAGGGCCCATATATATTCAAGTAACATCATCAGGGCCCATATATATTCAAGTAACATTATCAGGGCCCATATATATTCAAGTAACATTATCAGGGCCCATATATATTCAAGTAATATCATCAGGCCCCATATATATTCAAGTAACATTATCAGGGCCCATATATATTCAAGTAACATTATCAGGGCCCATATATATTCAAGTAAAATCATCAGGGCCCCTGTATATTCAAGTAAAATCATCAGGGCCAATATATATTCAAATAACATCATCAGGCCCCATATATAATATCACAAGGGCTTGTAAATATAGCTGGTGACCTAGTCTGGACAAGACAGCCATGTGGCTCAGTGACTAGGTTGGCACACATCACGTCGTACCAGTATGATCCCTGCTCTGGCCGTGGCATACTGGGTGACAACCCACTCGAGAGAGTTGGGCCCCCATATCCCAACCCTCTCTCCTCGTCTCACCCCGAGCTGCAGAAGCCCCGCCGCAAGCTGGTCCGCCTGAAACAAACACCCAAACTTCAGTTTACATACACACTTTCACATTCTTGCTGAATGAGGTGTTGAACAACAAAATAACCCAAAGAAAGAAACAAATCTTTCCTTATGCCACAACGTTTCTCGCCTGAGTACACAGACAATGTTAAAAAAAGTACAGTCAACTCTCGTTAATCCGACACTTGTGGTTGCAGAGAAATATGTCGGATTAACGAAAATGTCGGATTAATGAAAATGTCGGATTAATGTATTTGTATGAAAATATCAATGTTTACTAAATGTCATGATCGTCATACTGTTGCATGCATGGTAGATCTAGTTATCTTCATCGTATGTAAAAATATTCACAGAAATAAAAGATACTAACAATACATACTTGTTTTCATTTATTAACATTCATAGATGGCATAACATACATATACAATCACATAAGCGAACAGTTTCATATCTATTTCATGACCACATTGGCACAAAACTCACGTTTGTTTTTACCGCATATCTGCTGCCATTATGACCCGGATGTTACAGTTTCCATACAACTAATTCCATAATAACATGTGGACGTCGAATGTACACTCAGGCGTGTATCATAACATATATAATTTATAACTTGAAAAAATCTTTGATGGTCATTCACATCAAACACATCTAAGTGGTGTGTCAGAAATGTTTGCAAAGTGTTCAACAATGTTTTGGCCTCAGATAGCTTGAAGCATTGGAATCAGTCATAGAGACGCTCAACCACTAAGCAGACTGCTTCAGGATGTCAGATACGGTTGATCGTCCAATCTTCACATCAAACTTCTGCTCAGCAAAAGTGATGACTTCTTGTTGTGTTGTCTGGGGTTTGTCTTTCTTCAAAAGGAGATTTTTCTTGATCAATGGCGTAACTTCTACAAGGGGTCGCTTAGCAGGTGGTGTACTCGTGACCAATATCTTGTGATGAAAACTCCTGTCGGTTGTATCATATACATTTTATACAGCTCGCTCCACTGTTATTTCTTGATTAAATCGTCTCAATTAATTATCCTGTGTTCCTAATTAACAAGTTTGATGTTCACTGACGCCGTTGTCAAGCAGCCAGTAAGGCACACGCTAATTATCACTCACGTGTGATTGTTTGTATACGGTCGGATATACGGTCGGATCATCCGACCGGCTGTGTTGATTGTTGGATTAACGAATGTTTTTACACTGTATTTACAATAATCAGCTGCTAGATTGGTGTGTCGGAGTCGGAATGCGAGAATGTCGGATTAACGAGAGTAATTATCACTGTTTTAAATGGTTCCCTAATTTTTTGTCGGATTAACGTGATTGTCGGATTAATGAGTGTCGGATTAACGAGAGCTGACTGTACATCATTATCTAGGTACACAGGAACTATTGTCAATCTTTAAGTATCTTGATTAGTACCTCGTCGAGCAGCTGTGCTATTGTCCTCCTGACATTTTCGCGAATGAACACAACTGCATCTTTGTCCGGGTTGATCTCAGCCTGGTGCTGCAGACGCTTCCCGATAGTCACACCAAACAGTGGGGTGGAACTGGCTCCATGGGTGTAACTCAACGTCAGCTTTTCCACTGCTGTGTGACTACATCTACAACAGCAACACAACGTGACTACATCTACAACAGCAACACAACGTGACTACATCTACAACAGCAACACAACGTGACTACATCTACAACAGCAACACAACGTGACTACATCTACAACAGCAACACAACGTGATTACATCTACAACAGCAACACAACGTGACAACATCTACAACAGCAACACAACGTGACTACATCTACAACAACACAATGTGACCACATCTACAACAGCAACACAACGTGATTACATCTACAACAGCAACACAACGTGATTACATCTACAACAGCAACACAACGTGACAACATCTACAACAGCAACACAACGTGACTACATCTACAACAGCAACACAACGTGACTACATCTACAACAGCAACACAAGCGTGATTACATCTACAACAGCAACACAACGTGACTACATCTACAACAGCAACACTGGCGTGATTACATCTACAACAGCAACACAACGTGACTACATCTACAACAGCAACACAACGTGACAACATCTACAACAGCAACACAACGTGACTACATCTACAACAGCAACACAATGTGACTACATCTACAACAGCAACACAACGTGATTACATCTACAACAACAACACAACGTGACTACATCTACAACAGCAACACAATCTGACTACATCTACAACAGCAGCAACACTGGCGTGACTACATCTACAACAGCAACACAACATGACAACATCTACAACAGCAACACAACGTGACTACATCTACAACAGCAACACAACGTGACTACATCTACAACAACAACACAATGTGACCACATCTACAACAGCAACACAACGTGACTACATCTACAACAGCAACACAACATGACTACATCTACAACAGCAACACAACGTGATAACATCTACAACAGCAACACAATGAGACTACATCTACAACAGCAACACATTGTGACTACATCTACAACAGCAACACAACGTGACTACATCTACAACAGCAACACAACGTGACTACATCTACAACAGCAACACAACGTGACTACATCTACAACAGCAACACAACGTGACTACATCTACAACAGCAACACAACGTGACTACATCTACAACAGCAACACAATGTGACCACATCTACAACAGCAACACAACGTGACTACATCTACAACAGCAACACAACGTGATTACATCTACAACAGCAACACAACATGACTACATCTACAACAGCAACACAATGAGACTACATCTACAACAGCAACACAATGAGACTACATCTACAACAGCAACACAACGTGATTACATCTACAACAGCAACACAATGTGACCACATCTACAACAGCAACACAATGAGACTACATCTACAACAGCAACACAATGAGACTACATCTACAACAGCAACACAATGAGACTACATCTACAACAGCAACACAACGTGATTACATCTACAACAGCAACACAACATGACTACATCTACAACAGCAACACAACGTGACTACATCTACAACAGCAACACAACATGACTACATCTACAACAGCAACACAATGTGACTACATCTACAACAGCAACACAATGAGACTACATCTACAACAGCAACACAATGAGACTACATCTACAACAGCAACACAACGTGATTACATCTACAACAGCAACACAACATGACTACATCTACAACAGCAACACAACGCGTGACTACATCTACAACAGCAACACAATGTGACTACATCTACAACAGCAACACAACATGACAACATCTACAACAGCAACACAACGTGACAACATCTACAACAGCAACACAACGTGACTACATCTACAACAGCAACACAACGTGACTACATCTACAACAGCAACACAATGTGACTACATCTACAACAGCAACACAACGTGACAACATCTACAACAGCAACACAACGTGACTACATCTACCACAGCAACACAACGTGACTACATCTACAACAGCAACACAACGTGATTACATCTACAACAGCAACACAACGTGACTACATCTACAACAGCAACACATTGTGACTACATCTACAACAGCAACACAACGTGATTACATCTACAACAGCAACACAACGTGACTACATCTACAACAGCAACACATTGTGACTACATCTACAACAGCAACACAACGTGACTACATCTACAACAGCAACACAACGTGACTACATATGCAACAGCAACACTTGTCAAAGTTTGATTCACATTTGATATTTCCGCAATACCAGACAACAAAACAATATCTCCCCGAAACTTTCCAAATTCCCAATATGGCGGTAATGTTAATTAGTTTTGGTAATGAATAATGTTATGGCAAGATGAATAAATACAGAATACTTGGTTGGGGCACATGTATAACAACAGACCGCCAGGCCCCAAATGTACAGTGATGAAGACTATTACTGGGATGCTAGAGTTATAACGGTTATGTATGATTACTTGCTTCAAAAATCTCTACTGACGTCGAGCATATTTTGACATATTGTAAGAAAAATCAATGTTAACGAAAGTATATGTTTTTACATATCGAGAATAGACGAACAGGCCAATCAAGAAAAGTTATCTTGTGGGTCTGTGCGATGATTTACCACAAGAAAAGCTGTAAACAAACACAAAGTAACGTAAATTACCCTGACTCTACCGACATTATCTAAACGTAAGTTTGGGGTTTTGGTTGGTAAACCATCGACATCGCTAATTATGTCCCTGAACATGGAATGAGAATCAACCTGCATGTATTTTGGTTCTTTGCAGACATGACACTGGACTTGAAAATACAACAGAACTTAAGTTGGATAAACTTTTGCAGCAAGCTTAAATGAAAAGAATACGCCCTACCGACATAGCAAACATGCCATCATAGAACCAAATGTGTGTTTGAACTGACGCTGCAATATGACTTAGTGCCATCTTTTTGAAGGTTGATACTGATTGTAAACATTGTTATTTAGAATATCTGCACAGATACACCTCGACCTATAACTGTGGGAGAGTACCTCGCCCTTGGCTTCCAGATAGTTTACCTGGATGAAACTTGGGTCAACAAGAACCATCTGGAAAGGGCAACCGAATGATTGTACATTATGCAGGAAGCCGGGACAAAAGTTTGATCGAGGGTTGCAAGTTGGTCTTTGAAACAAAGAAATCAAGTGGAAATTACGATCTGGAGATGAACGGCGATGTCTTCATTGATTGAATGGAACATCAGCAATCTCTATGAGCCAACTGTCACAGTGATTGACAATGCCAGCTACCATAATATGCAGGAACCACCTAGCATCACACAGACAATGTCAGCTACCATAATGTGCAGGAACCATGTAGCATCACACCGACAATACCAGCTACCATAATGTGCAGGAACCATGTAGCATCACACCAACAATACCAGCTACCATAATGTGCAGGAACCATGTAGCATCACACCGACAATACCAGCTACCATAATGTGCAGGAACCATGTAGCATCACACGACAATAAGCTACCACCAGCTACCATAATGTGCAGGAACCATGTAGCATCACACCGACAATACCAGCTACCATAATGTGCAGGAACCATGTAGCATCACACCGACAATACCAGCTACCATAATGTGCAGGAACCATGTAGCATCACACCGACAATACCAGCTACCATAATGTGCAGGAACCATGTAGCATCACACCGACAATACCAGCTACCATAATGTGCAGGAACCATGTAGCATCACACCGACAATACCAGCTACCATAATGTGCAGGAACCATGTAGCATCACACCGACAATACCAGCTACCTTAATGTGCAGGAACCATGTAGCATCACACCGACAATACCAGCTACCATAATGTGCAGGAACCATGGAGCATCACACCGACAATACCAGCTACCATAATGTGCAGGAACCATGTAGCATCACACCGACAATACCAGCTACCATAATGTGCAGGAACCATGTAGCATCACACCGACAATACCAGCTACCATAATGTGCAGGAACCATGTAGCATCACACCAACAATACCAGCTACCATAATGTGCAGGAACCATGTAGCATCACCGACAATACCAGCTACCATAATGTGCAGGAACCATGTAGCATCACACCAACAATACCAGCTACCATAATGTGCAGGAACCATGTAGCATCATCACCGACAATACCAGCTACCATAATGTGCAGGAACCATGTAGCATCACACCGACAATACCAGCTACCATAATGTGCAGGAACCATGTAGCATCACACCGACAATACCAGCTACCATAATGTGCAGGAACCATGTAGCATCACACCGACAATACCAGCTACCATAATGTGCAGGAACCATGTAGCATCACACCAACAATACCAGCTACCATAATGTGCAGGAACCATGTAGCATCACACCGACAATACCAGCTACCATAATGTGCAGGAACCATGTAGCATCACACCAACAATACCAGCTACCATAATGTGCAGGAACCATGTAGCATCACACCAACAATACCAGCTACCATAATGTGCAGGAACCATGTAGCATCACACCGACAATACCAGCTACCATAATGTGCAGGAACCACCTAGCATCACACCGACAATACCAGCTACCATAATGTGCAGGAACCATGTAGCATCACACCAACAATACCAGCTACCATAATGTGCAGGAACCATGTAGCATCACACCCGACAATACCAGCTACCATAATGTGCAGGAACCATGTAGCAGCATCACACCATAACAATACCAGCTACCATAATGTGCAGGAACCATGTAGCATCACACCAACAATACCAGCTACCATAATGTGCAGGAACCATGTAGCATCACACCGACAATACCAGCTACCATAATGTGCAGGAACCATGTAGCATCACACCGACAATACCAGCTACCATAATGTGCAGGAACCATGTAGCATCACACCAACAATACCAGCTACCATAATGTGCAGGAACCATGTAGCATCACACCGACAATACCAGCTACCATAATGTGCAGGAACCATGTAGCATCACACCGACAATACCAGCTACCATAATGTGCAGGAACCATGTAGCATCACACCAACAATACCAGCTACCATAATGTGCAGGAACCATGTAGCATCACACCAACAATACCAGCTACCATAATGTGCAGGAACCATGTAGCATCACACCGACAATACCAGCTACCATAATGTGCAGGAACCATGTAGCATCACACCGACAATACCAGCTACCATAATGTGCAGGGAACCATGTAGCATCACACCGACAATACCAGCTACCATAATGTGCAGGAACCATGTAGCATCACACCGACAATACCAGCTACCATAATGTGCAGGAACCATGTAGCATCCACACCGACAATACCAGCTACCATAATGTGCAGGAACCATGTAGCATCACACCAACAATACCAGCTACCATAATGTGCAGGAACCATGTAGCATCACACCGACAATACCAGCTACCATAATGTGCAGGAACCATGTAGCATCACACCAACAATACCAGCTACCATAATGTGCAGGAACCATGTAGCATCACACCAACAATACCAGCTACCATAATGTGCAGGAACCATGTAGACATCAGGCACCACCCATCACACAATACCAGCTACCATAATGTGCAGGAACCATGTAGCATCACACCGACAATACCAGCTACCATAATGTGCAGGAACCATGTAGCATCACACCAACAATACCAGCTACCATAATGTGCAGGAACCATGTAGCATCACACCGACAATACCAGCTACCATAATGTGCAGGAACCATGTAGCATCACACCGACAATACCAGCTACCATAATGTGCAGGAACCATGTAGCATCACACCGACAATACCAGCTACCATAATGTGCAGGAACCATGTAGCATCACACCGACAATACCAGCTACCATAATGTGCAGGAACCATGCATAGCATACCAGCACCATAATATTGCAGGAACCAATACCAGCTACCATAATGTGCAGGAACCATGTAGCATCACACCAACAATACCAGCTACCATAATGTGCAGGAACCATGTAGCATCACACCAACAATACCAGCTACCATAATGTGCAGGAACCATGTAGCATCACACCCAATACCAGCAATACCAGCTACCATAATGTGCAGGAACCATGTAGCATCACACCGACAATACCAGCTACCATAATGTGCAGGAACCATGTAGCATCACACCGACAATACCAGCTACCATAATGTGCAGGAACCATGTAGCATCACACCAACAATACCAGCTACCATAATGTGCAGGAACCATGTAGCATCACACCAACAATACCAGCTACCATAATGTGCAGGAACCATGTAGCATCATAATGTTGCGGGAACCATGTAGCATCACACCGACAATACCAGCTACCATAATGTGCAGGAACCATGCAGCATCACACCGACAATACCAGCTACCATAATGTGCAGGAACCATGTAGCATCACACCAACAATACCAGCTACCATAATGTGCAGGAACCATGTAGCATCACACCAACAATACCAGCTACCTTAATGTGCAGGAACCATGTAGCATCACACCGACAATACCAGCTACCATAATGTGCAGGAACCATGTAGCATCACACCGACAATACCAGCTACCATAATGTGCAGGAACCATGTAGCATCACACCGACAATACCAGCTACCATAATGTGCAGGAACCATGTAGCATCAGCTACCATAATGTGCGACAATACCAGCTACCATAATGTGCAGGAACCATGTAGCATCACACCGACAATACCAGCTACCATAATGTGCAGGAACCATGTAGCATCACACCGACAATACCAGCTACCATAATGTGCAGGGACCATGTAGCATCACGCCGACAATACCAGCTACCATAATGTGCAGGGACCATGTAGCATCACACCGACAATGAGCAGCCTGAAGAAGACGATGCAGGATTTCCTCATATCGTGTGCTGTTCACTGCAGACACAAAGACACAGATGATTGAGAAGTTCCGCATGAACAGAAGGCCCAATTAGTACAGGGCCGACGTGCTGGCTGCTCAACACGTTGTGCTACGTTCACCAGTGAGACATTGTGTTACGTGCACCTGTGAGACATTGTGCTACGATCACCTGTGAGACATTGTGAACTGAACCCAATCGAACTTATCTGGGCAAACTGTAAAGGGTTTGTTATGAGGAAGTGAATGAGTTGATCCATGCATCGTTTGGCAGGAGAACCCCTGAAGTGTGGCAGAGGACAGTCTCAGGACCAGGTCCTTGACATAGAACCTCAATACGTAGGCGTTGTTGGTGTGAGAAATGGATAATCCTTTTATGGATATCACATGATCCCTTACATAAACGATATGTACACTATGCGTACACATGTTCAACATTTTGAAGATAGAAAACTATTGAGATGAACCCTCAGGTGCTCAGGTGTCTATTTCACCTGTCCATAGACAGAGCATGTTGATGACATAATAAAGGCAGTTAATGTTTGTTTCAAATAATGTTCATTCATCATAAAATTGTCCTCATTCTTCTGTTCCACTACCCCTTATTATTTCTAAGTTTTTGATATTTTAATACGCAAAACACATTTTAAGGCATGTCTCAAAATTTATTTCTACATTAGATAGATCATTTTTAAAGTGATATTTGTTATTTAAGTAACTCTAATATCTCTAAATTTTAAATAAAAATAAAAAAGAAGTTTTCAAGAATTTCCGACAGTACTTTATATGTAGGAGTGTAACTGCTCCGATGTACAAATACATCGTCAGGACAGTCGATACAACAGTTATATACCATAACGTGGTCAGTTGACCTGCCAGCCAGCCAGTCATCCGTGGAGCTTATTTATATATCTTCGCCCTTTCAGCCACACTTGTCAAACATGAAACCTTACCACTTTGCAACAAACAAACTGCATATTTGGGCGTAAATGAGATAACTACGAGATAAAAAGTTTCGATACTGCACCTGACTAGTTGTTGCAGCTGTTGCTGCTTGTGGTGCAAGGTGCACCGCTCTTGCACTCTTGTGAAAGGTACCCTCCCAAACACCCTGCTCGCCATCATGTAGAACACGTATGTTAACAAGCCTTCTAACCTTACAAAAATCTAGAGTAATCTCCCTTTCTCACTGAAGCTAGTGTGCTAAAACTTAAAGAAGCGTCATACAATATTGATGAACAATATCACACACAGTAGAGGGGCTTATGTCTGACTGACTGAGTTTAGTTTTACGCCGCTTTTAGCAATATTCCAGCAATATCAGGGCGGGGGACACCAGAAATGGGCTTAACACATTGTGCCCATGTGGGGAATCGAACCCGGGCCTTCGGCGTGACGAGCCAACGCTTTAACCACTAGGCTACCCCACCGCCCAGAGGGGCTTATGTAATTCCGTGGGAATTAATGTTAATTGTTTGAACCAATAATAATTGTAATCACTATTGTGTATGGATTCAGAAAAAAACATGGTTCCATTTTTTCTGTTTGCTATAAGTGTCATTGTGGGATGATTGAATATGAGTTCCCAAAATTGCTTGCGACACCATTTCGATACAAATACATTTTCATAAACATATCACAACATAGTCATGTAGCATATCAAACGGTAGCTTATGATGCATGGTTGAGGAATAACCAATAATATGCTTCTAATTTCAGTTTGGTGACATAAAATTTGACATAATCATATAAATTAATCAAATATTGTCTTTCCTTCATCGGACACCAACATTGTAAATATTGGCCTATATTAATGGAGACCATTTATTCAATTAATGTATTCTCCCATTTCATAATATATACTACCATGACACACTAGTAATAATAGTACCCAGGTAAGGTTAATGTGACTATCATGTAGCACTGGCGGAGTGTGTGTGTGCGTGCGTGCGTGCGTATGTGTGTGTGTGTGTTTGTTTCAAGGGGTTCGAACCCTCAGAGATTGGGAAAGGTAGGGGCCATTGGCCATTTTGCACATTAGAATAGAAAATGGCCCATTAAAATTTTGTATATTACTATTGATACAAGGGCAGTGGCCCATTCTAAATTCAGAAAATGGCCAATTATCTTGAAAATGGCCCATTGTCAAAGTTCCCTATCCCAATCCCTGAAACCCCTCCCTTTTGAAAATGACTAAAGACCACATGTACAGATCAGAAAGACCGCGAGTCACCACACCAGCCCAACACCGCTACATCCGTGACTGCCATCGTTCCGCCCTCTCGTCAGCTATGACAGGGTTTACTTTAGAATGTGTAAAGCCCTGAATTTGACATATAATCAGGTTTACAAAGTTGTAAACAAATCAGTTACCTCAGGGGTCGTGTCAAAATCAAAACCAGGTAGGAAACACAAACTGGATAGCTTTGATAAGGGTGTCATACGCCGTGCAGTTTATAAACTGTATGAACGCAAAATCCCACCGACGTGTGCAAAAATACAAAATGAGATCAAAGATACAATAAATGTCTCGAAAACAACACTTATTGTAGCTCTGGTAGAAATGGGGTTCAGGTACACCAAAAGGGGAGATGACAGCTGTGTTTAGAGAAAAGTACTCAATCCTGTCCATGCGATCAGCTTATCTCAGAACAGTTGAAGAATACCGCAATTTGGGTTTTCAAATGATATACCTTGATGAAACCTGGTGTAATAAAAATCACTCAACCGATCGGATGTGGCTTCCATCAGATTGTTCTAAGGCACCAGTGTTACCATCAGGCAAAGGTAGACGCTTGATCATCTTGCATGCTGGTACCCGTTGCAAGGGACTGATTGGGGGTTGTGACTTTATTTTTGAGGTCAAGATATCTGATGGTGATAGCAAAATGAATGGGCATTGGGCAGCTATTTTTGGATTGGTTCGAACATCAGCTTTTACCGCAGCTGGACGAACCAAGCGTTATCATTTTGGATAACGCCAGTTACCATAACCTGCGTGTCCCTGGTACCATCACACCCACCACGAGCAATCTCAAGGCTCAGTTGCAGGATTTTCTCACTTCCTGTGACGTGCCTTACAGGCAATCAGGAACAAAGCCCCAGCTCATAGAAAAAATCCGGCAGCACAAAATGCCAATCCAGTACATCACTGACAAACTAGCTGCAAAACAAGGCGTACACCACTAGGGCACTGTGAGCTCAATCCCATCGAGCTGATATGGGGTAACTCTAAGAATTTTATTGCTCGCAATAATACCACATTCAAGTTCTCAGACGTTAAAGAGCTTGTGTATGCTTCTTTTGCGAGAATTACCCCAGAAGTGTGGCAAAAGGCAGAAGACCGTGTTCCTCAAAATCGAGGACGAATACCGTCTTAGGGACGGCGTTAACGTCAGCCGAGTTGCACCTGTTGTAATTCCGCTAGAGTCCTCGACCAGCAGTGATACTGATACTTGGTATTTTGAGACGGTCCCTGACATGTACTGCCCGTAGGTTACATGAACGCTGTCACCCTATCTGCCTGCCAGGTGGGTCACAGTATAGTTTGTTTCGATGAAGTTTTTCGATGTTTTACGAGTAATCATTATGATTAGGGAATGGTACATCGTGACTACTCATATGCCATATTAGGTCGAGGTGGTATGAATGATTGTATATGATTTTGAATCTGAAATATCAACCATTATCAAATAATTGCCTCAGTAAAAACCAATTGCGTACCTTACCCATCTCCCTACCACTGAGACTGTAGTTAGGCCGAACTTAGTTTAACAAATATGTCACACTTTCAAATATCAACTACAGTAATTGTCGATATAATTTTTTCCGACAGTACTTTTTTTAATAAGGGGCAAACAAATGTCTCCAGTATCCCATATTAGCCGTTATGTGAAGAGCAATGGCAGTTTCTGTGTTACATTGTTTCCGTTAAGTGAGTGAGTTTAGATTTACGCCGCACCCAGCAATATTCCAGCTATATGGCGGCGGTTTGTAAATAGTCTGGACCAGACAATCCAGTGATCAACAGCATGAGCATCTATTTACGCAACTGGGATACGATGACCAACTCAACGAGCCTGATCCTGTTAGTCACCTCTTACGACAAGCATGGGTTGCTGAAGATCAATTCTAACCCGCATCTTCTCAGTTTCCGTTGAGACTCACTATAGAGGGCAGTGGTGAGTTAATATATTTACACCTGTCAAGACCTGTTGGGAAGCGTCTGGAGCACCCGGGATAACCGAGCGTAGTCACCCCCGGCTGGTTTCAGGATGGTCAAGAAGGAAACTGCTTGTACACATATATACAGGTGATGTTATCCCACACTGCGGAGTGATCAGCTTTCACCACCTTCCGGCTCTTGTACACATATATACAGGTGCTGTTATCACACACTGCGGGATGATCAGCTTTCACTACCTTCCGGGTATTGTACACATATATACAGGTGCTGTTATCACACACTGCGGGATGATCAGCTTTCACCACCTTCAGGCTCTTGTACACATATATACTGGTGATGTTATCCCACACTGCGGGGTGATCAGCTTTCACCACCTTCCGGCTTTGTACACATATATACAGGTGATGTTATCACACACTGCGGGATGATCAGCTTTCTCCACCTTCCGGCTCTTGTACACATATATACAGGTGATGTTATCCCACACTGTCGGATGATCAGCTTTCACCACCTTCTGGCTCTTGTACACATATATACAGGTGATGTTATCACACACTGAGGGATGATCAGCTTTCACCACCTTCCGGCTCTTGTACACGTATATACAGGTGATGTTATCCCACACTGTGTGGTGATCAGCTTTCATCACCTTCCGGCTCTTGTACACATATATACTGGTGATGTTATCCCACACTGTAGGATGATCAGCTTTCACCACCTTCAGGCTCTTGTACACATATATACAGGTGATGTTATCCCACACTGTCGGATGATCAGCTTTCACCACCTTCCGGCTCTTGTACACATATATACAGGTGCTGTTATCACACACTGCGGGATGATCAGCTTTCACCACCTTCCGGCTCTTGTACACGTATATACAGGTGATGTTATCCCACACTGTGTGGTGATCAGCTTTCATCACCTTCCGGCTCTTGTACACATATATACTGGTGATGTTATCCCACACTGTGGGATGATCAGCTTTCACCACCTTCAGGCTCTTGTACACATATATACTGGTGATGTTATCCCACACTGCGGGATGATCAGCTTTCACCACCTTCCGGCTCTTGTACACATATATACTGGTGATGTTATCCCACACTGCGGGGTGATCAGCTTTCACCACCTTCAGGCTCTTGTACACATATATACTAGTGCTGTTATCACACACTGCGGGATGATCAGCTTTCACCACCTTCCGGCTCTTGTACACATATATACAGGTGCTGTTATCCCACACTGCGGGATGATCAGCTTTCACCACCTTCCGGCTCTTGTACACATATATACAGGTGCTGTTATCACACACTGCGGGATGATCAGCTTTCACCACCTTCAGGCTCTTGTACACATATATACAGGTGCTGTTATCACACACTGCGGGATGATCAGCTTTCACCACCTTCCGGCTCTTGTACACATATATACAGGTGATGTTATCCCACACTGCGGGGTGATCAGCTTTCACCACCTTCCGGCTCTTGTACACATATATACTGGTGATGTTATCCAACACTGCGGGATGATCAGCTTTCACCACCTTCCGGCTCTTGTACACATATATACAGGTGATGTTATCACACACTGCGGGATGATCAGCTTTCACCACCTTCCGGCTATTGTACACATATATACTGGTGATGTTATCCCACACTGCGGGGTGATCAGCTTTCACCACCTTCAGGCTCTTGTACACATATATACAGGTGATGTTATCCCACACTGCGGAGTGATCAGCTTTCACCACCTTCCGGCTCTTGTACACATATATACAGGTGATGTTATCACACACTGCGGGGTGATCAGCTTTCACCACCTTCCGGCTCTTGTACACATATATACAGGTGCTGTTATCCAAAACTGCGGGGTGATCAGCTTTCACCACCTTCCGGCTCTTGTACACATATATACAGGTGATGTTATCCCACACTGCGGGGTGATCAGCTTTCACCACCTTCA